TGGATAGCTGATCTGATATTGTTCATCGGCGGCTCTTTGAACTTGCAGGGGTTGATCAAAAGAGAAGTGATTGGCAGAATGACGTAATTTTCAGTTGACGTGATTGAATGGATATATCCAGGAAGGAGCGTCTTGTCACCTGAGACCAGATATAAAACGAACGAGAACGTTTTTGAGCTAACCGATGTACTCGTCATTGGTTCCGCAAGCATTCGAGTCCCAGGCGCCGTAGTCGAAAAGTCCGACAACGCGACGTACTCCATTGGTGTCGATGGTGAAGATTCCCTGAAAAAAGATGATTTTTAAAGATTTAAAAAAGGAATCATTCATAAAAATGCGCTTAAGAAGCCGATTTCATTTACAAAAATATATTCTCTTGTCGGTTACTCACGCCAGGCAGTTATAAAAAGCTCAGTTCTTACTTCGAAAATTCGTGGAAACTTTTCCTTCCCTTTTCTGATCGAGTTATATCGCTTCCAATTCCTTTCGAACTCTATGCAATTTAAAAACATATTCGATTTTTTGAAGTTTTTTCACACTACTGAAAAGCGAAAAACTCTTCTGTTCTGAGATTAGACTACATTAGAGTACAATCCAGCGAGTTCTAAACTTGCTTCTTTTTCATAATGTCTTTTTTGAAATGCTGTATATTCCCTGTCCAACGCTGTACTTTTACCACACCTCAAGTTTTGGTGCGAAGGTGTCACTAAAAGGCCGTACATTGCACTCAGGCGAGGAAAGCCTGGAGTACTAAGCTACGAGGTATGTAGCCAAAGAGTTGAATGCCGCCGTGTTTGCACGACAACTTAGTCCTTTTCGGAGGCGAACGGTCACTCGCTTTTCCATTGTTACGTCGGACACGCGCAACAATGCCCTTCACTTTGAACTATTTGACTCTCCCTTTTTCCACCAAATTCAGAAGGTGACCTCAGAAAGTTGATGTGCCACAAGAACACAAGCGGGATCGACATCAAACGCGAACCTGATAGAATCGCTGCTCTTCGAAGTTCATGGCCGAGAAAGAACCCCAAAGAGTGCCGTCAGGATCGTTGCGCTCATGAATGGCCATAGAAATAGGAATCATGGTGTGGCGGGGTTTAGAGAAGATGTCGTTTTCCTCGGTCAAAGGGAACATTTTGAACTTTTGAAGTGTGCGCACCTCAAATGTTAACAAAATTTGGATAGCACTTAAAAATCAACTCACGTCCAACTCATAGCCAACCCAGTACGGTGCTTCGGTGCCGGCAATGATTCTGTTTCCGACTTTCCAAAAATCTAAGTTTGGATGGAAACGAGCCGAATCTGGATTGGCAGGCACCTGGAAAAAGAAAAGAATTTTAGAAAACAAGAAAAACTTTTTCGAATGAGAAGATTGAGAAAATTTCCTTTCTTAGAAAGTTAATACAGTTTTCAAAGCAGTTTTTTGAGAGTAAAATAATTCAAACTTCGCCAGTCAGTTTTTTTTAGGTATCCCTAAAACCTGCATCAAAAAACTTGATTAGAATCTACAAGATGCGCCGAATGTTGTGCAAAAAAAGAGCTAGAAGTATTACGCGCAAAAGTTTAGTTTAAAAAAACAGTACTCAGAAAAATACCTGCTCCCAGCGAGACATGGCGGTCAGATTGTAATCTGACCAGCCGGCCCAAGGAACGCTAGCTTTGCTCATGTTACGGTCGTAGAACTCCCAGATTTTGTAAGGACGAGCTGGATAATATTGAGCAGAGAAGACAACCTAAAGATTCGCTTCAGATTCAACTTCACATCGGAAACAATTCACTTGTCCATTGCTGATGTGAAATGAGCCAACGGCTCCAATAGCGTCAATCATGTGGTTCAGCCTCTCTCCAGGAGGAGACGAAGAATTACCATATGAGGCGGAAAGTTGACATAAGAAGTAGCCATCTTAAAATTTCCGAATAATAGTATGGCTCAAAAATATTTTGAAACATGAAAGTAATAAAAAATCCAGTTCGATTTGAAAGCCCTCGAAAATCAGAAAATTTTCACTATTGGCGCAATTTACAGAAATAAAATATCTAAAAGAGACAAGAGAATTTTTAACCGAAAAACTTTATCGGAAGCGTCGAGTGAGTTAAGCAAGGCTAAATCGAAATTTTCCACATTTTGCACATCAAAATATTCGAAAAATAACAAATAAATATATATACGGTACCGTCAGAAAAAAACGGAAATTTATTATAATTTTCTTTTAAGGGATTCAATTATTCTGAAAGTTTCTGGAATTGTGAGGACTGTTATTTTTTTAACACTTCGATGAAATTTCAGTTCACAGAAAAAACCGAAAAAAATGTTGAAAGGATATTGGGCTTCAAAACTCTTGTTATTTCAAACATTCACACTAAAGAAAAAAATAAATTGGTCACTCTAAAAACTCAAGTTTTGACAAAAATTTTTTTCTCGAATTACAAAAATTAAATAGGAGACTGTTTCGAGTACAGTCTCAAACGGGCCGTAGATAAATTATTTATAACCTACTGACACTTTTTACGATCTAACTAGCGTTTACTGAATAAACCAAAAAGATAAGAAAAAATTAAATCAATCAGAAGAAACAAAAAAAAAAGAAACATACCTAGGAATTTAGGAATATTCTTGCTCGGGCAATAAAGCTCGCGGTACTTGTCGCCATCCCAACTGTCAGGAAAACCGAGATGCGTGTGATTGAAGGACTGTGCTGAGACCACAACAGGCCCAATTAGGGCCAATAAAAGACAAATGAAAGCCATGATTGCGGTCCTGCTGAGTAGTACCCAGAAGGAGTGTCCACGAGGTCGGCTGTGGTCAGCTATGGCTCGACGCAGAGGCGGAGACCCGCCGGACCTCTGCAAACTGTGTGGTCCTCGGCTTACGAGCACGTCTTTGCCGCGGGGAAGATACTGTGCGTCGCTGTCTCCACACTTTTGGCGCTATTTCGAGGCCACCGTAAACAGAACGTATCAGTAGTAGTTCCGCATAGACTTTTTCAACTGAAAATTCTTCGAACACGACCACGACTCCCCCGTTTTGCTCGTCTTTGCTAATTTTATGTTCTTCTCAGAAAAAAAAGCGTCGTTTTTACGTGAGGGTGTTCTTTTCACATACTATAAGACAAAAAATCAAAAATCAATAAAAAAAAATTCAATTTCAAGGTGAACCAGAGAGACTAGAAAATCTTTCAGCATTTAAAGTGAAAAACAAAAAGCTTTCAGGAGATTTTAACTCTTACTCTCTTCCTTTGATGTATTTAGTGGGAAAAACTTCTAAAAAAGAAAATCCCAGTCATTCTAAAGCAAAGGTTGGGAAGATCTGCTTTCGGATCCTCGGAAGGCGCTTTGAAACTTTCTAGCAAGTGGTCAAACGCCTTTCTCTTGGAAAAAGGTCTTCCGGAAGCCTTCCAGAAAAACTCCAGCAGGATTCTGGATGGCTTCTGCCAGGCATTCACCATTTTCGCTTATAAAGTACCTTCCAACTCCATTCCTAAAAGCCTTCTGAAGATTTTCTAGGTTTCATTCGACTTCCAACCTCTTGCTGGTTGCCTTCCCAACACTTTCCCAGGATTTACCTGGGTTAATATTCTGAAAAAGGCCGTAGAATCACAACGAAAACTTTCAATGTTTTTTTGCAAAACCTTTCTTATACCGAACTTTCCCCTTGCTTACATAAACATATTTGTCATCACAATCAATAATTTCTTTCTTATTACATCCTGAGTTAATTTTGTGCTAGATTATTCAAGGCCGTCTCTATGAAAAGAGCAAAAAGAAAACTTCGGATCGTTTAAAACACTTCCGCAGAATCCCGCGGCCTTTGAAAAACACTGAAAAGGTGGTTTTTTGACATTTACCAAAGTTTTCTGCTCAGAAACTTCTGTGAAGTTGGAGTTCTTTTTGACTTCCAAGCAGCTAATCAAAAAAGATGGTTTTTCGACATTTTCTTAAAGAAAGTTTTTTTAACATCCGTTTCTCTTAAGGTTTTTTTGGTACTACAAAAGTTTTTCTCCCGATAAAGATTATAATAACTTTTAAAAATTTTTTTAACTTCATTTTTTTCTGTTTCAGTATCGAATTTGTGAGCGCTATTTTTTTATTGTTAAACAATTGAAAATACTTTTTTCTCATTACTCGGATGCGTTCTAAATCAATCAACTGTTCCCATTCGATTCGATATTTCGAAGAATCTAATTTACATGTCGCAGTTTTTGCAGCGGAGGTCTTTCTCAACTAAATTGTTTCTCTTTAAAATAAATCCGTAACCTCAAACAAATGAAAGAGCATTTTAAAAAGGCCTTCTTTGAAAATAAACCCTGACTATTTCAAAAACCTTAGCCATTACTGAGCCTTTTTCCAAAAACAACGTATTCCTATTTGAAAGCTTTGTTTGGAAGACTTGAAATTGAAAAATTTTGTAGAACATGAGATCATAAAAAAATTTCAAAAACATATTTTTGATTCGCTTCAAAGTTTTCAGAAAAAAACAAGAAACAAGAAGTTGGATAATTTATCTCAATTCAGAAGCTCTTTGAGAAGCCGATCCTTGACAATTTTTTCGATTGCAGTCCTTTGTACAACTTTTCATTAAAATAATTGATTTTCTGTTATAACTTTCTGAAATAAAGCAAGTTTTAACATCGTTCGAAATTGGGATGAACAAAGTAATCCATCTGAGGGTAGGGACTTCGTGAGCCGAAGCGTCATTCCACTTTTTCCACCCGGACTAACTAAGTGTGAGCACTCAAGCGGTGCTCATCGTCAGGAATCTTCAAAATTGAGATGTCGTGAGGATTCGGAGCGATTGGCCGTCCATAAGAGGGACGCGTCGTGCAGATGAAACGGGTTGATGCAGACCCACGAGTCATCTTTTGCGCAAACAACGAATCCTCAAAACGAACTCTCGGTCGTCCTCGAATAAATATGATTTTCCCCACTTTTCAGTCAATAGCCGTAACGAATGTGTTTATTGTCAACCAAGTCTGTTGGACATGAAATCAAATCACAGTGTTTTACTCCTGGAAATCGTCGGCGGCGCGTTTGCCGAAGCGGACCATAGCAGAGCGCTCAAGAGGAGATCGCAGCTCTCTGCAAAATTTCAGAGCATAGAAATCCTTCAGAAGGTCAAAAAAGAGCCACTTGCTAACAGAGTATAGCCTTACAGACATTTTTCATTCGATCTTGCCGCAAGTAGAGTTTGCAGCTACTTGAAAATAGAGTCTCTCCTGTTTGCATACTTTCAGAAAAATACTTCTATGTACGGGATGAGTTATTTGAAAAATTTGAAATGTTTTTGACAAGCTTCCGATGAAAAAATGGCTCAAGAGACACAATTCAGTTCGATGACGTCATTTTTTCTGGTATCGAGCTTGAGTTGATCAGTGAAGACGTTCAGTTCAACTCTTACCAATTAACATTCTCATGGAAAACTGTTTTTCTTTAAGGACATATTTTCACAAGGTCTTTTCCAATTTCGAACTTATTCAGCCAACTCACCTCTGCATGTCTTCTGCATCAACGGATGAGCGCTTGCCGAACCTGCGAAAACAAATGAATTTAAAACGATTGTTGTTCTTTTTCGTTCACATACCTGACCATCGAGGCACGATCGACGGCAGGCGAGCGTCCGAAGCGGACCATGGCAGATCTTTCCATTGGAGACCTTCCGAAACGAACCATCGCTGACCTGTCTAGAGACGAGCGCCCAAACCTTGAAATAGGTTTCAAAGTTTTTCTCAAACTTTCAAGAAACTTACCGCACCATGGAAGAGCGGTCCATCGGAGAACGTTTCTCTCTGAAATAAAAACTTTGATGAAGATTTTTGATGAATTTGTGGTAGGCATGGTCCCGGGTCCAGAGTTAAAAGGAAGTCGAAGCTTTGTGAGAATTTTTTTGAACTAGCTGAAACTAATACTGAATATTTTCATAGATCCGGTCGGACCAAAACATGGCAGAGATCTGAAATGCGGTGAAAACTTACAGATCGCTTTCATCCACTGGCTGATCTCTGAAACTGGATTGTCAGAAAACGCTCGGGAATTTTCGAAACTTACGCCTGTCCTTCTTCAAAGGGCGAGCTTGCCAGAACTACGGTACCGACAAGAGCGAGCAGAATCAGCGATTTGGGGCAGCCAAGCATTGTCTCTTCAATTAGACACTTCAAAAAGAAAAGTATCCAAAACTAAACAAAGAAACAAGGAGCACTCGTCGAGAAACGTAAGGAGACGGAACAAAGTTTATTGGTAATCAAAGAAAACTGCGGAACTGCTTTATGAGGCCATATATCTTGCCTCCGAGTAGTTTTGAGTGGGAGACCTCGCATTGAGCACTTGAAGAATGTAATAAGGGTTTTTTCAGGAGAAACTTCATCAAAGTTGCCTTTCCTTTATTGACTTCAACGTTTCTCCTACCAAACTTTTTTTAACTGAAAGGCTGAATAGAAAGGAAAATAGGCATTTTCCAGAGAGGATAATGTCGACCGGCAAACAATGGAACAAAATGAACAAAGTGAATTCGAGTAGAAGGGCGATGGCGCCGTTGTCGTAATTCAGGAAAATGCTCTCCAAAATCAGCTATAAACGGTTTGTAACGGCTTCACATCACGCAAGCAATTCATTTGTGAAATGTGGTTTTGCGATATTGGCCCATTTTCTCTGAAAGTTGTCTCGCAAGCTGTAATGTATACACAGGGCAATTGGTGTTTTCAGGAGGTTTTCCAAGAATTCAACCATGAAAGTACGGTAATGGGAGAAAAAAAAATGTTTTCCACGTTTCACAGCAAACAATAATGGGCACGACTAGAAGCTGGAAACGAGCTTGAGAAACGCTATTTGACAATTTGGAAAGCCTTATGTGAGTAAAATGAATCGGTTCGACGTTCTGCAGCTAAAAAAGGAAAAAAAACACTTTTCCAGTCATCGAAAAAAAAGGTGGTGAGAAGTTTTTCACCAATGATGTTATCCGGAAGAGTGGAAAACTAGAGCTCCAAACTTTTTTCCGTCTCAGCTCTGCACCAACTATAAATTATATCTGTCAGAGAATTTGGTCGATATTCATGATGCCTTTGAAAAATGTCGCCACAAACGTTTCCTGTTACAAATCAAGTACTTTGAAGGAGATTGAAATCACACACAAGTTGGAGAAAGTGTTTTTGAAAGCTGTTTGTGAGATATAAATCCAGACAAATTTCAGGTTAAAATAGCTTTTTAGTGTCACGAAAACAATGCTGTTCGTTTTGAAAGTTTGAGAAAAATGTTGACATTTACGGAAAAAAAAAGGTTTTTCTTAATAATTTCTGAGAATTCACAACAAAGTTTGGCCGCAAAATTTTCAGTGGAAATTTTCGATAGTTCATTCTGCTCGATTTCTCACTTTTTTTTGGAAAAAGGTTTTCAAATAGGTTTTTCTTGGAAACTAAAAATCTGCCTTCAGTAATGTTACTTTTTCCTTTAGTGAATCGGAAAAACGTTGTCTCATAGAGCGCATGTTAAATTTTGCTGTGAGAATGATAAAGAACATTAGAATTTTGACATTTTTTGCAGATTGTTTTTATTTGAAGTTTTTTTACTGAAGAATCTTGACAGGATGACAAGGTAAGCAACGGGGTATTGTTTTTGGAAAAGAAGGAGGCATATACGCAAGGAAGATTAAACCGCCATCGGCCCATCTTTCACTTCCTCAACAAATGAAATTGACGTCCTTGCTTTTCTATTATTCATCATCATATCGAGTACTTTGCAGAAAACTTTTCTGAGCCGGAGGTTGATGAATAGAATGAAAACAAAAAGAGAAATCAGTGGAAGCAAATGCAGGTGAGATTTCTCTCATTTTGAACTTGCCCAAGCCACGACAGACTGCCGTAAAACGAGTCAAAAAAGGAGACTTGAAAAGAATGAATATTCAATAAAACATGAGATTTTCACGACCACCATGTAAGTCGGTCCCAAATGTTGACAGGTTCAGAAGCTATTTCACATTTTTCTATTTGCTTTGGAGGGTACTGAGAGAAGTTTGGAAAATTAAGAAAGACCTCTTCCCATTTTGAGTTCACAGGTTCCGATCCGCATAGTGAAAATTTAAACGAAAAAACTCTGTCTGAGGAAAATAATGAGTTCATTTCAGGATCCATCAAAGTCATGGAAACAAGAATACTAATTTTGTAACGGACACTACGGATACGTTTGAAGTTTCATAGGGAACCTTTTTCAAACTTTGTAACTTTTGTCTTAGTTAGCGTATGAATAAAAGTTTGAAAGAAGAATTTCAAGTTTTTTTCTTTTTAGAAATTGTTTGAGATTTTTTTCACTCACTTAAAAAAATTTGTAAATTAGCAATTAAAAAAATAAAAAAACTCATTTTTCTTGAATGTTCTTGCCCATTCAAACATTTATCAACCATAGTTCATTGATTTTTCTGAGCAATATTAAAACAGTTTTTCATTTTTTTATTTTTTTCTGAAAAAATTTTTTTTGGGTTTTTTTCGCAAAAAGTCTTGTTCACAGTTTTGCTGAGTTACCCGGGAAACATCTTTTTTTGTCTTTGAATTCCCTAAAACATTTCTATTTTTAGGATGGTTTGTCAGCCTAACTTCAACAAGTCTGCGGCTAGAAACTTTCTAAAAACTGCAATGGTACTCTTTTGTATCTAACTGGGATCTTTGAATTATCTCAACCTGCACGATTTTCTATAATAAAAAGGAGCCTCTGGATGAAAAGCATCAAAAGTCAGCCTGAGAGGACTTTTGAAACGTTGAGCCAATTTTCTTCAAAAAAAAAAAGAAAGGTGTAGGTTTAGGCTTTCAGGGTCCTTATTTGGTACATCAAAGAGTGTTGTGTCCAATTTTCAAAAAACACTCAGTAGCAAAGTGGAACGACTTTCTTTTTTCACCACTATCCCTTTATACAATTTTGAAAAACGTTTCGAGTTGAAGAAGAAAAAAAATCTTTTTTCAACGAAAAAATGGGTAAAAAAACAAAAGATTTTTTTGCTATCATAATTATCAAAAATATATAATTATTCACCAAGTGGTTCTGATGAATTTCGGGACAGAGTTTACTTTTTTCTTCTTCATTTTGAAAAAAAAAAACAAAAACCGAAGTGAGGAAGGAAAAGGGCTCAATTTTTGATAGCAGGTTTGCTGCGACTTAATTAATATTCGATGCCATATCTGGCGAAAACTGAAGAAGCAATGAAAAACACGGAAAACCCGGTTAAAATACAGTAGGTGATCTGGAATCGTGTGTATTCAGACCATCTCAGTAAGACCTGGCTCCGAAATCAACAAAGGGAAATTTTTGAGAGTGCTCAGTTGATTTTTTCCAATTCTATATATACAACGACCATCTACTTTAAAGTGAGCCCTAACAAGTTTTAATCAGAGAAGTATCGCAAAAAATGTTACAAAAAAAAGGTATATTCATTCCAATCGCCTGGTTTTCACGCTCTCTAATTCGTTCAATAATTTTCGAAGGATAAAACATGAATATAATTTTATTGCTTTGGTACCAAAACGGATAGTCAGGTAAGTACAATGGCTTTGAGATAAACACGGTTGGAATTGGCGTCGACGAGGCCGGGCCAAAGGAATTGCCGAATGCGAGAGGAGCTGCTGGAGTGCGTTCCACGCGAGTGTCTGCTCCCGACCAACTCCTCGCCCTCATACTCGAGCGTCAGTCTGTAATGCCTTTCATCGTCAATTATGTCCTTGTGTCCGCTTTGATTTTTTGAAATGAACTTGAAAAGAGCGGGCATTTCAAGAGTTGTCGACCTGACTCAGTCACACTAATGAATTCGAATTATAATCGACTCGTGTACTCGGAAAGATGACAGCTCTAATTGAGTCTTGATGGAAAACATTTTGAATGTCTCAGGTAGGATTCGTTACGAACAGAAATTGTCGGTGAGACGTATTCTACTCACAATGACTTGAAAAACTAATATTATTTACCTCTTATTCTTCTTTACTGGGGTTGATTTGAAAAAAAAGGGTTGGACGAGATAAACTGTTAAAGCAAATGATCTGAGAAGGAAAATGATTACAAACTGGTATCAAGACTACAGAGAACTTTATCGAATTTCTTTGCCTTCTGTATTCGAGAATTCCAGTAAAAACTGTAAGCATGATTTGGGCAAAGTTATCATCCAATTTCCGACAAAAAAGGAAATGTTTTTATTGCGAGCTCAGAAACTTCTTATTGCCTTTTTTCCCTATTCGTTTAATTTAAACTGTAAAAGTCACTAGAGAAAAAAAACTCTATTTTCAATTATCGAAACTTTGAAAATATTGTTCGAGAATCTGCAGCTAATTTTCTGAAAAAGGAAAAATAGTGAGAGACTTCAGATTTCCTTTTCATCCTGAAAAATGATATTTCACAGTTCTCGCAATCGAATAAAAATAAGTCAGGAACCTCTTCTCAACTCCGCAGACAATATCCCAGCAGACAGCCAAGCATTCCTCCAGAAAGCGCTTAAATTTGAAAGATGATTGAAGTGAGGGATATTTGGCGAAGTTGCTCGATTGGAGCTCAATCAGCTCCTGAAAACCACTTATTTTCCTCCTTAATAGTTTTCAATCAAACGTGGGATATTTGTTCGCCCTTCGTTTTGAACTGACGATATAAGAAAGCGTTAATTGAAGCGTCGAGAATGTGAGCGTCCGTAGAAGGCTCGTCTTCGCCTGCAGTTGTTTGTTAGCTCAATGAGCCGCTAGAGGAAGCTTACTAGACGTTTTTTCGATGATTAACTTTGATTTCTTGCCCTTCACGTAATTTAGAACAGCAGTGTGGCACCCCTAAAAGCTTATTGTTAACCAAATTCTGTACTAATAAACATTTTTTTGATGTTTCAATGAAGAGTTTCAATAACTGACCAGTAATGATCTGAGAATAACTTCCATTTGCAAATTTGGCTGATCTAAAAACTCCGGGAAATTGTCAATCTCGCCTCGAACGTCCTCAAAAAGAAAGAATACGTTTTTTCACTCTAATTCACTAACATTACTCGCGTAAATGAACAACTCGCTAAGACGTTTTACAATCAGGCTAATTTGCTCCTTTGCAGAGCAGTTGTAGTACGAAGTTGCGTCTGGGTAGTCCGGAAACGGTATAGAGCTGTAAGAATCCATTCAAACAAAGCCTTTATTTCCTAATATAAACCATTCTGACGGTTCTTCACTTGCTTCCACTTTCTTGCGCAGTTCGGTGATTGTGTAGTTTGCAAGACGCAGTTCTTTTCTCAGCTTTTGAACCTTGAAAAATCATCAGAAACGATTAACTTCGTTTACTTTCTCACTTCATCTTTCAATCGCTCTATCCTCACGTTCTCTTTTTCATTGTCATTGTCAGATGTTGAGAAATTACTCGTGTCTCAAAATCAAAAATTGATTAAAACCGAAATATTCAATTACTTGAGGAGGAGCATGTCCGAGAGGATGAGGTCGAAGTATTCGAAATTGTGGGAGAGCCTTCATTCCCAATTTTGTTTGTGGGACACATTGAAAGGAGCTGAAAAAAGCGAGCATAAAGCGTTTTGAATAATTCGCTTCACTTTGTCATAAGAGTTCTTGAAGAGCACTATTAGTTGTGCAATAATTGGATCAAGCTGCTGCAACTCAAAGTCGTCGGGAGCTGCTCGAGAAAAAGCGTTGAAAAGTCCTATCAGCGACTTATCCGATCCCACACGTTTACGAACGATTCTTAGAAGTGAAGTTATCTGGAATTATTTCATTCAAATTTCCAATCAACGATACAAACTTGTTGGTTTTGACAGACTTCAGTGAGGAAACATTCGATTGTTTCGTTGAGTTTCAACCTCTGGTAAACTTGTGAGAGTCTCATGCTCATTTGCCTCTGGTGGCTCTCGAAAGAGGGATCTGCTAAAACAAAAACTTTTCGAATCAATTTCTCAATTTCCGGTCTGTTTCAAGCAACGATCAGAAACACCAAAAAAAAACTGCGACTTTTTGAACAATGCACCTTAACATCAGAGCGTATGAATCTTGTCAAATCACCTGATCCTCCAACTTTAGGCGTTGAAAACTCTTTGACTTGTAGGCATAACATTTTGATATGCTCTAAATATTTCAGCATTTCCAAGTAAACGGCGTCCGTAATTCTGGAAGAAAGAATATGACCAATTAGACAGAGTATAAATTGAGATAGACCTTATGAGTCCTGAAGAGCAATTGACAAGGCCGTGACATCCGAGACTCTCCAGACATGCTGCCATTTGGGATCTGTCTTCTTGAGCTCGACGTATAAGATGAGGACAGTGTTCACCGATAGCGCTCATCAGGGATTGAACGCAAGACTGATATTCCTAAAATCTTTGAAGTTTTTGATAGTTTTCGATTTCATTTCTTTTTTGCTAACGCCAACTTCCTCGGAATTGAAATATTTTCCGAGAGAATTCGGCGGTTATTTCACTTGAAACGCGTAGAAATTTCAGCAATAAAGAAAATTTTTTATAAGTCATCCATAATTTTCTCTAATAACCAAACAGTTATGCTTTTACGACAAAAAAACTAAACTGAGAATAAAATCGAAAAATTTATTCTCTCCGATTTTTCTTGTCTAACTTAGGCTTCCGTTATTCATCAACAAAAAGCTTGACAAATCTCCAAAAAAATTTTTCTTTCAAAATTTTTTTATCACAATTTAAAAAAAGTTCCCTAACAGACCTAACTTCGAGAAACATTTTTTTCAGATCAGATTATCGTTCTCAGAGCACGAAAGAACCAAAGTTCATCAGAATAACAATTCCAGTTTTTGCGCAGCGTGGGATTAATTTCTCGAAAATGGAAGCCTAATTTTCGAAGAAAAAAAACAAAAATTAACCAGGAAAGACGGCAAATGTTTGCGAAGCGCTGGACTGTTGGTCTGTTCACTAAAAGCCATCCACCAGACCAGTTGACAGAATAGTTGGTCGCAGCAGAGGTCGTTCTTTGGAAACGCCACTCCATCTTTTTCTGACGTCTCAAAGAACAAAAATTGAAAAATTGTAAGTTAGATAGGAGAAGAAACAAAAAATAGAAAAAAGTTTTTCAACCGTATTGACTTGTTGAACGTTTTTTTTTGTTGAAGTAGGAGCAAGATCTTAATTTCAAATTGAATTTTGTGCAAACGGCTCAAAAAATCTTCAAAAAAAAACTTCCCGATACTGATAACGTGTCGTGAATTCATTAAAAGGCCTCTCCGAATTCATCCATTTTCTTTTTTGAACAAGTCACTACTTTTTTTGCAATTAGAAAAAAAACCCCTCATCGCGAGAAAAAAAGGCCGACTCCATTAATAGCCAAAAAGTGAAACATGAAACTTTGTCCTGCGACTTCAAATCCGAACCGCCAAAAGAAAAACAAACAGAAAAAAAGTCGATCAAATTGAACGAATGGACTCTTCCCATTTGGATCTCACCGAGATGCACTTGTGGAAGATAGTTTCTAGAAGCGGCAAGGTGTAAGGTATTTGCTGGATGATTTGCTCCATTGGCGGCAAAATATTCAGAAACATCATCATATCTTCGGGATGAGCTGCGTTGATCTGAAAATAAACTTGAAAAACTTTTTTGAAGAAGCCCTTTACGCTCCATTGTGTTTTAACAAATCACAGCTTGCAGAACTTTCAATTTTTCGCCATTTTCCGAATCTTCTTTAACCACTTTGTCTAAGAAAATCAGCTATGATACTTAACTTCGAGATAAGAGCTTTGTACGACAGACATTCCGAATTCGACGCATTGAAAAGCGTTCTGGTAAATTGCAAGAAACGAACTTCCACAAAGTAGAAATATTTTATATTTGAAACAAATTAACTGATTTTCTCTTTTGATGTCGGAAGTAATCAAAACGTTGATCTAAAAATTTTCAATCTGCGTCTGTTTTTTTCAAAAATTTTTTTAGCAACGAAAGGGTGAGATTAAACTCTCAAAACGGTCCTATTATCTTTTCGAAGCGTCTTATTATGACGTCGTAAAACGTGAAATGCTGTTTGGGCCTGGCGACTGGTGGTGGCGCTTTCTTTGTCTTTTGGATTCGCAATTTCAGACTTGGCCGGCATGCTCAAATTACGGGTTCTTTGCTTGCGCAGACTGTCTTTTAGAATTATGTTAGACCGGAAACAAACGTTCGAAAATACGAACCTCTTCGCGAAGTTGGGCGATTGTAGGCATGTCCAGCGGCTCGAAACGTGAGCAGAACTTTATCAGGTTGAGCTCCTGCCGTGGCGGCTTGAAGCTCCAGCCGGCTGATTTGCTCGTGTTTTGCTCCATTTACTGTGCGAAAAAAAGTTTCTCAGTTCAAAAATATTTCAATGAATTTCCGGGAAACGAAAAAAAGAATTAGCACACATAAAAAGAAAAATGCTCAAAAAAATGATTCTGATTATTTGATATTAAGAGAACCTGTTTTCAAAGAAGAAAACCCGTCTAAAAAATTTTTTTCGTTTGTTTCACTCAGAGGTTCAGAGTTTTCTTAGTATATCTAAACTTCCGTAAAAAAACAATCTCTATTTGTAAGACAAAAATGAGGGATAACAAAAAAATATTCCAACTTTATCCCAAAAAAACTTTTTTTGCAATGATATCTCTCAATCGAATAAATCCATCTTTTTTTGAATAATTCTCAAACAAATGAAAAATATTAATAGAAACATAATGCGGATCGGACGGCGGCCAAAAATGCGGTCCGCTACTTGACATACATAGTTCCTGTGAAGTTTCCCCTCAAATCACCAAGGTCACTCTTGAAACTGCGTTTACATAAACGAGCAACTTTCTTTGAGATCGAACAACCTTGGTTGGAGCAGAAAAAAAAAGATTTACAATAAAAAAATTTGGAAAAACCTGGAGCGTTTTCTCACAAAGAAACCGGGAAATTTTCCAAAAAGACAGGATTGTAATCCAGGAAGTTATTTTTTACCACAAACTATGGGTTCTTTTTAAGAAGAAAAACTTATAAACACACTGATCTCTAGAAAAAGTTTATATAGTAAGCAATAACTTGAAAGCAAAAAAATTCGAGCATTAATGTACTGATTTTTTAAGACTTTCTTTTTTTTCAATAAAAGCGTCTTAGTATGATCAAGAGCAATTAGGCAGGATCAGTGCTCAAAAAAATGAAAAAAATTTTTATTTAGCTAAACTGTTAGAAATAAATTTTGTGTTTGATTTTTTTGAGTTTTTTTTTATGTCAAGGTTTCAATAGGAAATTCATCCTAGACAAGAAAAAAATCCCATTTGCAATTGAAAAATTGTTTCTTGGATCTATCTACTTTTAGGGTTCAAAGTGGAAAAAAATCCCACACATGTCTAAAAAAAGCGAAAAATACTAATTAATCAGCTGTCAATGAGAATTAAAAAAAGAAAAAAAGGTTTCTGGAAAGAAAAGCTGGGCCGCTGAGGTATCTGTGTTTAACCAACAACAGGGGCGGTGCCGCAGGTGACAGCGCCGTTTCGAAGGCCCCGACCGCCGCCGACTTTAGCCCAATTCAGCTTTCTTTCTATCGTTCTTTTTCCAGTGAAACACTTATACATTTCAAATGGCCCGGGCCTCGTTCGAAAGCGAGTTTTTTCAGGAGCTATTCTCGAGGATCAATTTTTCATATGAATCAGAGAAGATCGAACATTTCAAGTTGAGACGACTTCAAGAGACACTGCCGAGACTTCAGAAGTTCAAAACCTTGACACCAGAAACATATTTCTTAAGAACTGTGAAAGCAGAGCAAAAATATTCAGAAGACGGAAAATGAATCCTCAGGAAAACTTGAATCAGAAGCTTGAAAAAAGAAAGTTTCAGCTTTGCAGCTTTTCCTTTCCTAAGGTTATTTTAGCTTTTTGAGAAATTTTAAAAGGATCATACTATATTCTTGCGAATATGAGCCCAGCAATAACTTCACCAACTTTCTAATCTGAAACTATGGGTTTTCGCAACTCTAATTTGATGAATGAAAAAATAAGTCATTTAGTTTTTTCCTAGTTTTCGCAGTCGATTCCTCTTCTTTTGGCGTTGACGTAACTCTTGAACAAAGCCACTTTTTGCGAATTTCTTCGTAGTTTTCAGCCCTTCTTCGATGGAATATTCATCAGCAACATGTCCCTCTCAGTCCCCTTTCAACCGGAAGTTACTACGTGTCTTCTCTACCGAAAGAAATGCTCTTTTTGGAACAACTCATGCGCATAGGACGTTCTTCATAATTTTTTTATTATATTCAGACACTTTCCATGAGGTTGTCATGTTTACGTTATATTTCGTGAGAGAAATCAAAAATTCACAAAAGAAGTCCAAAGAATGAATGATTGGAGGAGTGAAAGTGAAAGGGTCGACAAAAGTATTAAAAAAATCTCTAATAATTCACCGTCATCTCAAATGAAAAAATGGTTTATTGATATAAAATTACCGAATATGGCAAAGTAGGACAAAGAAACTCTCGTTGGGCGATGAACCCGATAGAAATGGCTCAGAGAAGAAATAATGAAATGTAGAGAGCTAAAATGATCCGGAACATAAAAAAATATCCTATAAATATTTGGTCAAGTTTCTCAAGGATTATAAATTGTCTTTATTTTTATTGCACATTATGAATAATCTCCTATATGACAAATTTTGACACTGGCAGTTAGATCTAGCGCATGAAAGCTAAAAAAGGGAAAAATAACACACCGAAAGAATGACCAAATCAAGACAAAATTTGAAACTTGAACTTTTTCATATGAAGAAAATCAAAATGTAAAAACAAATAAAAAATAGAGGTACGTTATCAATATATCGTTGAACAGCTTCACATATAAAATTGAGAAGGATAACTGGGATAATGCAATATACCCGATGCCAACCAAAATTAATACTTTGAGACATTCCGGAGAGAAGAAACAGATCATACGGTAGACTTTCTGAATACTAATCAGAAAATATTTCAGGCTTTGGAAACTCTTGAACCTACTGTATGCTATTGTTTCCCTCCATCGTTTCAATGGCGAAAGCCCAATATTTTGGCACGTGAAGTAATCATGACTGGAGTGAAAAGAAAAAAAAATAATTGAGATGATCAAAAAATACCCTAGCATTTATTATTTTTTCCAATGACACCGCGCAATGGTTTAGAAAAATGCTTAACTTTGTATTTGTGATTTTGTATGGAATTTTTCGGGAAGGGTCCAGTGAATTTCTTTTTTTCTCCGTTTTTGATCAAAACATATTGATGACCATCTTGGAAACGGTAAGGCGTTTTCTTCATTTTTTGTGTCATAATGAAATTTTGGAAGCGTTAAAAAACTTAAAAATGTTCAATATAGACCAAAAAAAAGATGAAATTATTAAACTAATTTGAAAAAAATGTCTATTTTAATTTGGAGCAAAAAATAATTTTTTCGCCAACACTTTGGTTCATAACGAAAAAAGCCGCAAATTCCAGAAATTCGCCTCAGTCTACCAAGATCGATCAAAAAAACTTTCTCAAAGCGAGAGAAAAAAAGTTCTAGAATAAGAAGAAGAAGAAGGCTAGACGAAGGTGAAGTATCCGTCAGATTTCCTCCGCTTCTTGCCTCGGGTCGGATTTGAGCCGTCAAATGGTGGCTTCGCTCTGCAAACACAAGCACCGTTGATTACCGCATCAGCTGCGAGCCGCCATTTGCGGCGCTGGCCCTGAAAGCCGGCAGTACACTCACCGCAACACTGCCGTATTGCAAAACTCAAAAAGCGCACGTGTTGAGGGTTAGAAACGGTAGGACCATGTTAAGGTCAACATATAATATTGGAACCACCCTTCAAAAAGTATGAAAAACACTTTTTTTGATCATGAATTTCATTTTTTTCTCTACACCGATTTTTTTCGAAACTTTGAGAATTTTTTTAATAATATTGCTTTGTGTAAAAGTGATTATTAGGAAAAATAACTAAAATACAAGTTCATCGGTTCTGTTCAAGGGTTTGTGGTCGCAAGTAGAATGATTTGGCTGCTACTAAATGCCGTCGGTATCAATAAAAAAATCAAAAATAAGCGCTAGAGTTTTCAAGTCGTCATGTAATTTTTATTAGGTGCATTGCTGCCAATCTACTTGTGATCAAAACATTTCAAATCAGATTTCAAAAAACAAGCAGAGCGAATGAATTTTTTCATATAATGGTGAGCCGTTAAGAAAAGAAGTCAGTGTGAAAAAAAGTAAATTATGACCAAATTGTTGATGTTTGCATACTTTTGAATGGTTCTTCGTATTTATCTTCACATAAACTCAAGCAATTCAACGGCCAATTTTCGGGGGATTTTCACAACTAACTGATAATCTTCTCGCCGGAATGTTCGTCAATTAGAAACAATCAAACAAATTGTGTTATTTCGCATCGGAATTACCTTGTCTGGCCCAAAAGCCACGTTTTGAAGTTGGCGTCAAGTTTGCTGGGAGACTGGCTAACGCCGCCTTCGAACATTTCTATAGGACTCTGAAATTTGACTTTGGTTACGACTACGCTCGGGAAACCGTCTTTCACAGCTAGGTAACGTAAGCCATTTTGAAACTAAAAAATTCAAGCGTGCAATGAAGGAAAGTGGCAAAAAAATAAGAAGCTTTTTTTCGTGAGAAAGTTATTAATTGAAAAAAATTTTTAATTCTATGGGGATTCTGATGAATGAGCCGTATGGGATGTTAAAGAAAAACAATTGGAGAGAGCGGTTCTAAACTTTAGCGCAAAGCGGAGGGAGTAAGTATGGAGACTTGGAATCAAGCACTCTATCTAACCGAAAAAACAAAAAAAAAGAAATGAAAAAAAGAAAATGCACAATTTTTCGCATGCCCCGGTGAACATAGACGCAAAGGTTGAAAACGAGGCTCAATTACAATAGGAAAGGAATCGACACCATATGGCTAAACAGTCATCGCAGTCAAATATACATACGTGTTAGTGAGTGAGGGATTCCGTAGAGTTGAAGTGGATCTTAGAATAAAAATAAACTTTTTTTAAACTTCAAATTCGCACCCTCTACCTTTTTACGCAACTATATTATTTTCAAATAAGAATCATAAATCTACTCATCTAAGAAGTCACGTGCAAAAGAAAAAATCCGTCATGCTCGAAAAGTACCTTCCGGACGCGGTCGTTGAAGTTGTGCCAGAGGGCGACGATCAGCTCAGTCGCTAGAATATCTCCGGCGTGCGCCGAAATCATTCTCATACAAAAAACCTGAAGCTTCATTTCTTCGAAACAAACCAATAAATTTCTACTCACTCCATCATAACCCAAAAACTTGTGCACGAATTTTTTAACCGACTGCCGATCAGTCGCTAAATCCGTGGCTCTGAGGTATTTCCGAATAAATTTCATATGCTGCAAAGTTATTTTTTCATTTTCGAGTTTCAATCGAAATATAAACCTGTCCTGGAATAAATGATATAACAATCCAATGTAGCATTGAAACTGCCGAAACAAAAGCTACCATAAAGTACCAGAACCTGCAAATTTTCTCATACGTTGTTGTCTTGATTTTTCGACTCACCATAAAAATAAGAAAATTTTTTCGTTGAACATATTAATCATCAACACGCATTGGACTGTGTGATGGTGAACATTTCCCAAAACGCGAACCTTCAATTCGAAAAATTATCCCAACTTTTTTTCGAGAACTTTCAACCTCAAAGTCGCACATGGTAACTCGCGGAAAGTTGCCACTAACTTCCCACTCGCGACCATTCAGCAAGTCTTTTAAAATGTGGAAGCCGTAAAATAAATTGTCTGTGCCCAGAAAGCTGTTCAGCATGAAGACCTGGAAAGATTTGAATTTTGTTCAAAAGAGCCTGTATGGCAGATTACCTGAAGCACGACATTCCCTAAATAGAGCATTTTTATAAACACATATAATAGTGTAACATAATTGGCCCATCGTTTTTTTGAACACACATTCCGGAGACGTCGGTGACCTGAAAGAAACCAAACAGTTCGTAGTGACATGGAGAGTCTCATCTATGAGATCTATTGGAAAAATGATAATCTTTTTTTCCCTTATATAATTTAATTTACTTTTTTTTATACTATTTTTGAATGGATCGAGAATTTCTCGCGATAAGTCTTAATCATTTTTTTCAATAACCATCAAACTTTGTGCGTTTTTTTCTATTTGCGCGTTTTTCTGAATATTGGGTTGTGAATGTAATAACGAGCCTCTCTCTGGATCTCAAGAGCGTCTTCCATGTGCCCGGCAATGGTCTGGACGGTCGCCGCGCGAGCGTCTGCGTCCATCATCCGCGCATCGCACGCCATTTGTGTGAGCGACTGCACGTTGATACCTACGAAAAAATTGTTTCGGTTTTTTTCTCTCAAAATTTTCTGCCATAGAACAATGTGAATTTTTTTGCAGCGGCCTGTTATGTTTCTAACAAAATTTGGGTCATTTTATCTTAAGTATATTCATGAATGTTTTCTGAAATTTTTTTACATTGTCCTTTGTTTTAACATTTTTTTAACACACCCCGCGAAAAATTAACAAAAAAATTAATAAAAAAACGGGTGATGAGGATCTTGAATAAAACTCGAAAAAAACCGCTAGTCTTTTTCTTCTGAAATAGCTGTTTCCGAATTTTTCTAAATATCCTGGCAGTTTCACCGGTTTCAAAGAGTAAACTTTGTGCGCTGGATAATCATAATTACAGCTATTCCGCATATTTAATCAATACCTTGAATTATATCTAGTGACATCCAGGAAAAACTATACCGTGAACTAGAACAGGAAATCTGAGGCTGATGGTTGTAATAATAAAAAAATCGCCATTTTCTCAAAAAAACGTCAAATTTATTTTTTTACATTATATGGGTGATCACAAGTTCGATTATTAATGGAACATTTGAATAATTTAGAAAAACTGTGACTGCTTAAAATTGAAAAATTTTCTTGTCAATTTTGAAAAAAACTTGAAAAAAATATCTTTATTTTGAGTAAAAAAATTTGTTTTTTTAGATTTTTTTCAGATCTCTGCAAAACTGAAGAAAGATCCAAAATGAAAAACACTTTTTTTTCACATGTTTCCTTGAATAGCTTCTCCCTTCTTGAGATCCAAAAAAATACCTGAATGCCAGTGTAAGAGCCCTCGCCACATTATGCACGGTATGTAGAAACAAAGTGCTTCGAGTGCAAGGACGAACGGAACCCATTGGTAGTAGCTAATTTGACGAGCTCTGCAACATCCTTCTCTTGCTCCACCACAAAATGGACACGAGAGTTACCTGCGATCGCCGTATTCTAATGGAAAAGCACTGGTGAGGGGTAAGTAGTAGGTATTCTCCACCCAACAGTAGTTTTCCGTGTACTGTTCCCAGGCGTCCGTGAATTGCGCCGGAACCCAGCATTGTATTGGATAGCCTAAAATTCACAAGGAAAGTGAAAAAAGACACAGTTTCAGAATTTGATGAAATTTTGCTGAGATGTTTTTTCAAGCCCCCTAAATTGAGAAAAAGTTAGTAATTTAACGCTTTTTGTCTTTTGGAGGAGTTATGGCCCCTCAAAACTTGCACACAAGAAATGGCTTTGCTCGCAAGTGCTAATATCACTCGCGACGTTGCCATTTCTTGCAGCTGTTAGCGTGGTGGAGTAGTTAACGCCATTTCAATGTGGAAGTTGTGGCACGGTTCGAACCTTGTTTTGAGAATTTTTTTTTGCGATTTTCTAACGAAGGTCAATTGTGAATTGGAAAGATAGGACGGAAGAGATAGTTGGAACCGCCCGGAAAATTTACTACAGGCTAAGAATTTTCAACCATTCTTCCCTTCTTTAGTTGGCTATCATCTGTTTCATTTCAAAGTCCGTTGAAATTTTACTTTTTTGACTGAAAATCGTTTGGGCTTGATATTGATCAATTTTTCGCTTGATTGAATCATTGATTGATTGACCTAAATTGAATTTTCGATTGTAACGATTTATTGTTCTTTCTGAACAAAAAAACCTTCTTCTTTCTAATTTAAAAAAAATTTCTAGACTAGGTCAACGGATCATATGATGAGATGGATCGTAAAAAAACTTTTTCTGCCAGAAGTGATGTAGAAACTAGTAAAAACGACAAAAAAAGAGGGTTTTAACTATCTCTCGCGTTCTATCTCCCCGCGCTCTACAACTCTGATAAAAACTACAGAGAAAAAAATTCTCCATAAGAGATTCGAACCGTGACCACAGCTTCCACATTGCAAGGAAGCTAACCACTACATCATGCTGCCAGCAGCAAGCAATGAAATCTGCATTTTTCTATTTATCAGAAACGAAAGATTTATTTATCAGAAACAAAAAATTTCTTATTTTTGCTGAAAAAGGAATATCCTTTTCAAAAAATTTTATTTCACTCACCTACATACTGTTTAGCAGACACAATTATCGCAAAGGCAAATATGATAGCCGAGGTATAGTGATAATTGAGTTTGTCAACAAAATCATCGTCTACACGGGGATGCAAGCCTTTGAATATCGCTGCTAAGTAGTACAGTAACATGCCGGCAGAAAGAACCTGAAAGTTTTGAAATTTTCATAGATTTTTAGGTTTGCATAGGGGCGAAAACTCGAGGAAGACGAGGCTGTGAAGAATTACGCTCCGTATGGAACGACGGCAACTCGTGCCGGCAAGGCAAATTACCGCCGCTTCTAAGTGACAAGCGACAGACAGATTGAACTAATTTCGCCTCTCATTTACAGTATACCCTTTCCTCAGGCATTTCCTCCATTTTCCCGTTGTTTTCGGAGACTCGAAAGAATAAATTTTCTCAAAAAATTTTCTCAGAAGACGTGATTCCAAAAAAACTTGTAACAATTTTACACATTGAAATATGATTTATTTGAATCGGAAACACAACTCCAATGTTTCTAAAACTTTTCTTTCGATCATTGTCAAAAAAAGTGAGACAAAACGACAGAATAATGAAAAAGGTTAGAATATTTTTTTCAAATATTTCGAATAAGAATAATTTTTTTTCGAGATATTTTTTTAAATAAAAAAAGACGCGAAGTGGAGATAACTTCAAGATTTCATTTATATTTCTCTAGATAGTAATAATTCAAAGTTTTAGAACTAACTGCTAAGTTGAAAAGATGAATAAACAAATCTTTTCTTAATTTTATCAATTTTTAAAGCTTCTTGTGAATAGTCAATTTCTTTCGAAAATTTCAAAGTACCAACCTTTCTGTCTTTGTTGAGATATGACTTGGAAAACTTAGTGTCGTGTGGGGCAGCACTGCTTGGATGAACTGGATACCGTGAAACGTGGTTCAATCGCTCGCATTTCTTGAGATTTGTGTGCTGAAAATGCACGTTGTAGCGACGTACGGTAGCCGATTTGAAGAGTTGGCGCATATTCGTTTGAGCCGACGAGAAGGAAACGATAAAGGAAAAAAAGACAAAAAGAGTACAGGAAATCTTCTAAAGGTTTTTAAACGTCTGGAGAGGAGCTTCGAGACAAAACAACAATACGTATCAGGTTGTTGCGGGCCGTAGCAACACGTACAATATATATATTAGCCATTGTGCCGGAGTAATTCTAGAAGCAATTGTGCATTTTGAAATGTTGGCAACGCGGCTCTTCGACCGAGCTTATGGCCAAGTCGCAGCGCAACAAAATATCTCGTCATCCCTCGACTCGAGACGGCAATGAGAGTGCACCAAGAGGGGGAGGTTCAATGTCATTGCCGGCGAGTATCAGCCACTCAGAAGGTGAATAAATTATGAAAAGTGCTAGCCAAATTGAGGGTTGACTGCGCGGCGAGTACGATCGAAAAGCGTCTTGGGAATCACAAGAAATAGGCGATTTCCGCCCCGGAGCCTTGTGTCAATTCCTTGTATTTGCGATTAACAGAAGCCTGTGAGGCGTTGAGAGCACCTGGCGAAAAGACAAGCAACATTTCTCGTCCAAAGGATATCTATCCAACTTTTTTGATACTTTTGTTTTTCCACTCCAATTTAAAAATAAAAAAGTTCATAAGGATAACTTTTTTTAACAGACTTCGGCCCGGAATATTTTTTTGGAATGAATCAGAAAAATTGAAAAAAAGGTTGAGATTATTCATAATATTTTCAGACCGGAAAAAAATGTTAAAAAAACGCAGTCTTGCGTGATGTCTGCGTTTTTTAATAGCATTAGTGCATACTTCATTCACATAAGCTTAAACGACTTATCACATGAGCTTCTACTTTTTTGCGCTTTGAATTGCTGTTAGGAAAGATTCCTAACAATTTTTGAGTCATTTTGGCTCAAAAAATTTTCCTAGACTTCATGAGGTCAGCTCTCAGAATTTAAAAAGGTGTTTAGTTGAATTGTTATGAAGGATATCTTATTTTTACTGGGTCATTAGCAAAATTTCTTCAAGAGCAACCAAAAGCTAACTAAAAAAGACGAGAAAAAACTCAGCCATCGGCTTTTGAAAATCTGGCTACAGTCTGGTACAGCTTTCTTTCTTTAAACTGTTCCGAACAATTTTTATACTTTTCTGATCAACGATTGAAAAAAAAATTGGGTTTTTAGAGAGCAAAAATTTGAGTTCAGTTTGGCGCAAGTCGGCAAACGTTCATAAAAAAGTTTAGGACGGATGATTTGAGAAAGATGCGCTGAGGCCAAAGGGTGTCCGCGCAAGGAGCATCCGAAGAGGCGCTAACTAGCCATATCGGAAGGATAGCAAGCAATCAAGACGACTCCACCCTACGCTCCATGGTTTGGCTGTAATTGAGAGTGCCCCCCGCGGCTCAGAGGACTTGGCACATTTGCCGAAACTCCCTAACAAAGAGCTCGAAATGCGGGTCGACGGAGGAATGAGCCGCGATGAGGTCCTCCTCTCACCGACGCTAACACTGTTAGCTAAAAAGTTTGACTAAGAGTGTTTTTCTGAGCCCCCTATGCTTTTAGTGGCGCCTTCAAATCAATTTAGGTTTTGTCTCTGTAAGAGACTTCTATAAAAAATTCTCTTCCAATAATTGTTTGATCAAAGCTGAACTATAGCTTTAGTAATTTTGTTTCAGTTTTGAACCTCATAGAAATCGCCGTTCTGAAGCAAACGAACTATTTTCAAAACATCAGCTTACATTTATAGATTCAAAAAACTTCAAAGTCAAAAATAAACTGTGAAACTTCAGATTTTCGGCCAAGCTATCAAACTTGTAGGAAAAACTGTTTTTTCATGTTCATTCTCATTAAATTCGTGAACAACTTTCAAACTTTTGAGCAATTAAATAAATTCGATTCCGAGTTTCATCAATGATACTTCCGATTATCTAGCTATCGAATACATCAAATTTAATGGGTGAGTGAAAAAAATGAGAAAAAAGTTATTGAAAATAAAAATCCATAAATTAAAAGTTCCTGGGAGTTTCGATAAGCGAGTCTACTTCCGAGGTAACGCTGAAGCTATTATTAAAGATTTCGAAACATTAAATCTTTATTCACAGTTTTCCCATGCACAAACATTTTTCTAGTTCTTCTTTACGGTTGGATCTCGAGTTCACAGTCACGAAGCTTTTTCCAAACTAAATTTTGAGCTAGATTAACAATTTGATCTTAATCGGATGAAAACATTGGAACAAGAAACTAAACTATTGTTCAAGGATTCGTTTCCACGTCAATTTCAAAACTGTTGAACATGCTTATACATTCATGAACTTGCTGAACATCTTTTTGCTACAAAACATAGTAGGGAGATCGTTTTCGGGGTCTTCATCAAGCAAACGTTTTTTCAAACGTTATGATAGCAAGAAATGCTTCTGTATAACGTTATCAGAATATCAAACAGTTCCAAAAAATTGCACAGAACTAAAAAAGAATGTCTTTTTTCAAACAGAAAAAGAGATGGCAGATTTAGACTTCCAAGGTTTTCATTTTATAGAAGAGTTTATTTTCTATCACTTTCAGCTGACTAAATCCGAAAAAAAGAAAGTTGATCCTTGTTGGACAAAAAAAAGAAGAGAAAGCTGGACGTACCATGGCGCGAACGATCCGCCGCGACAAAGGAGGAGGCATGACGCTCAACGCACTGTTCATTTTTCCACATGGCCTTTTGGATCAGATGATGGCAAGAAGGCTCTGAATTCGGGAAAGAACAACGTCGTCGGCGGTAGTCGCCCGCGGGAGTCCTCGGAGGGATCAGTCAATGTTACAGAGAGCGTCAAGCACAGATCGTGAGTTTTGCAAGCCGCGACTCGAGAGACAGGAAATCGACATTGCGCGGCCGCTGTCTTGGTGCGCGAGAGCGACACGGTCGCTGGGTATCACTTTTCAGAGATTTGAGAACCAATTCCAGCCTCATTAGCCTCTCCATGCCTACAAGAATTTGATAGTCCCTTCTTTTCGTGTCAATTTTTCTACTTCTTTATTTTACCCGCTTCAACAACTACAGTAGGAAACTCATTCAGCCAATTTAAAATGATTCAGAACGGACTTCCAAATGGGAGAAAAAATTTTAGCAACACGATACTTAGACATTGACTGAACGCCACGGGTTGGAACACAGTTATCAATCCGGGCAAAATTTCTTTGTTTGAACGCAACCGGCTACTGATTCGAAAAATGCGTACTCCTCATGACGAAAAAAATTCGAAAAATTTTAATCAAAAGCTCTTACCTCCAATTGAAACTTCATTAAAAATCAAAAAGAGATCGTAGGTCTCGGAATCTATTCACACTGAAAACAGCTTCCGACAAAAATTTGATTCTTGTTGCTTTGTCTTCTTCACAAAAAGTTTTTCCAGGCTTTCTAGAGCTATTATCTCTGCGATAGGGATAATTAGGGTTCATTTAAAAATTAAAGCTTTGTCAGTAGTTACTTGATGCAGAACATCTATTCTGTGTGTTTTAAAAACCTCAAAAGAACTTAGAAAACAGAACACGCTGAAAAATAGACACAGAAGCATATTAAATTCGAAAAAAATATTTGGAGTCGTAGAACTCTTTTACCTTGTTCCAGTCCAGAAAATATTGAAAGACCAAACCAAAAGTTTTGGTTTCCAAAATAAAAACCGTTCAACTTTAGGTTTCTGATCTGTCTTTGTGTTTCGAGGTTCTTCGAGCTGAAACTCCGGATTATGTCTGATTTAGAAAAAAATAATAATTGATAAAAAAATTGACGTCGCGTAAGAGCGGGGCGTCAAAAAGGGAAAAGTTCAGAATAATCCTAAAAAAGCGTCAATATAACAACGAGAAAGCTCCTCTAAGTAAGGGAGCTGCAGAAATCATAAAGCAGAAAATCGTCGAATGCCGCTGGAAAGTTGTGCCAAGCAACGTGCTTCCACCATTCTCTTCTTCTGTTTTTAGCGCCGGTTTGGATTGAGAAAAAAGATTGAACTCAGAAAAAAGTTTTTGTCAAATCTGAATATTCCTGACCAGATCAATTTACTAGGGGGACAATGAAAATATTTCGACAATAAATCCGGAACTTCATATGAATTTGTGCAAATACAGCTCGTATTTCACTACAAGTGCGTCATTTGCAGATGCTTTGCAAAACGATAGCAATGCTTTTTTGGCGCGAAATTGAAAAATATTACTACTGTCGAATTCTGTCAGATTACCTATCAAAAAAGCGGTTTCTTCGTGTCTTTTTTGACGGTGCTGTGAATCAAACTCCCGTTACTGTCAACAACTCCAAAGAATAATTTCTTCGACCTTAAAAAAACCGTCTAAATAACCATCTTGACAAAAGCAAAAAAATTATCTTACTGTTTATCGATCATTAAACGGGCAAAAAGAAAAAAAAATTGAAAATGTTAGAGAAAGATGGAAGAAATAGTAGAGTGAGTTGAGAAAATCAGATAAAGCGAGTGGCAGAACAAAAATGCACAGAAACTCGCGGTGTAATGTTCCGGAGAGGACATTTTTCACAACGCTCTCTCGCAGCTCTGTCGGCACATTATAGCATTTAAGATTTTTTTGAATTCTCCTTCAGTGCGTTCATCCGCAAAAATTTAGTGGAAGGCGCTCAGGGCAGCCTTGTTCTCAAAACAAATATGTTAATGTTTTTCCGTTTTTAAAAATCTCAAATTCATTTAGAATTTTTCCGAGGTTTTTCCGAGGTTTTCCGAGGCACAGTATTTATTCATGATAAAAAAAGAAAAATCCTAAAAACTTAAAAATCGGCATAATGTGCGAGTTTACGAAAAAAACGAAATGCAAGCTCAAACTTGGAGAAAGTGATTTTGTTGGAATTCAAGCTTCATCCCTGGAAAACTTGGAAGCTTGAACCTTTGAACTATCAGAATCTTAAAATTTCTAGAATGATGAAAAAATTCATCACTGGATATCCGAATAATCGTGTCAAAAAAAACGGCGAAAGGAAGTTTAGGGAAAAAAATCAGAATTTATTGCAAAGATCGAAAAATTTTCGTCAATTATTTTGTATGATACGCAGACAGGCTTGAGAAGTACAGCGGTAAAAAATGAAAAAGGACACATTTACGTATCATTTTTCTTCAAGTGTCCATGTTTAAACTACATTTTTTGTTCTGCTTTTTAATGAGTTTTCACGGCTAGTATCAAAACCAGAAACTTTAACTCTGAAAAAATTAGGTTATATTTCCAAAAATTAAACCTTTTTTTGCTATGGTAGACTTCACTTTAATTTTTTCTCTCTCGAAAATTAAAGAAAAAACGGATTTTATAAGTTTGTTTAACTAATCGATCTCTAATTATAAAAATACTTCTTGGAACTGGTTCTCTTTTTTTCGAATCAAGAAAAAAATAATAGAAAAAAACTTCAGCCGTCCTATCAATAATAAAAAGAAAAAAACCGAACAAATAGGAACAGAAAAAAAGAATGAAAGAATATTTTCTTAGAAAAAGAGCTGCACAACGGTTTGTCATTCATCAAAACTGCCTACAAGAGCATTTCTGAAGCCTAGGGATGAAAAACGGCAGCAAAAAACAAAGTTACTTCAAAACGACAAATTAATGAAAATGGAAAAAAAAAGCCCGCTTTCCAAGATTGGACTGAGAAACAAAGCTACTTTTCTATGAAAGTTTTTAAATCATTTTTTTTATGATTTTTTCGAAAAATTTCTGTGAGCTAACTTGAATAGGGAAGCTAAAAATAAAAAAAAATTCTTCTAGAACTAACGGCCATGCTCTTCTCTTATCTTGCTCATCAGCTTTTTTTCGAAACAAGTGTGGACATTCAACTTTCCATTTAAGAAATATCAAAATTTCATGTTTTTTTAATCAACGCAAAAATCCAGAAATTTCTATTTTTCACAAAAATAAATTAAAAAATGGAAGTGTATAATTGACGTTCGTATCAAAACTATAATTCAATGAGAAAAGTAGTGAAACGCCCCGAATCCAATTCCAAGAAGAAAAAAGCTGAGATGGTGTTCAGAGCAAAGTTTACGACGAGAAAAGTGTGAGGTGGAAAGCTGGAGAAAAAAAAGGCGGAAGAAATGAGCTGGCTGAGGTCCAGGCGAGCAAGACACCCGGCGGTTCGCTGACCATTGCTCGCCCCATACAACACCAACAACAAGTGGCAGCCGCTCGATTCAACCTCTCCGCAGGCTGAGCGCTATTTCGGAATAGCTGCGGAGTCCCACCGGACAAAACACTCTGTCCGCCGTGGAACAGCGGTAAATCTTCCGTTTTGCTCCATTTATCATAAGCTCAATAAATGGTCTCTGTTTATTTTACGATAAGCTAGCAAAAAGATTACACACCTCATTAATTAAACTCTGGTGGAGGTGAAAAAATAGTGTTACACCAGAACCTTTTGCCATTATTTGAAAGATCGGAGAATATTCATGTTCTATCTATCATTTCAAATCAAACTGAAGACATTTTAACTGACATTTGAAAAAATTATTAATTACAACGGTATAGTCTGTTTTACGCAACTTTAAAGGGTAGGACTTTTCTGCGCCCTCCTTATCTCCTAACGTCTCTCTCATGTTTAAGTGATATTTCCATGTTTCTCTGACCTCACCGGTGAGAGAACAGAAAGACGCAGACACGCTAAAACTGTCAAGTCGCGGCGGACGGACTATACGGCACGGTATAGAATTTAGTCTACAAAACAGAGATTTTGTGTTTTTTTTTTTGATCATAACAAAGGGATCCACTAATGATGCAGATCTGTTCAAAACTATGTGTTTTGTAATTTGAGATCTCCGAAAAAAAAATCCAGAAAAAATTGTCGAAAATTGTGAAAAAAAACCTTCATAAAAGTTCATCTTGTTTTATTCACGATGAAACATAACACTAAATTTTTCATACCCCAAGAATCGGTAACAGAAATTTACTTATCCTTACAAATATAAAAATAAAAAAGCTTCTTCCTACATAATACGATTTGGGAAGCAAAAAAGAAGACTTTTTTTCCCACTACATTCAGGGAATTTCGAAAAAAATTTTTTTAGAAAAAAACCAAAGAAAAATTTTTCTGGTTTTCCGAACTAAATACGAGGCGATTTGAAACACTCTGCTGAAAAGTGGAGATCCAAGTGCCGAGAGCTTGAAAAATTTATCACTTCATGTATGTTAAAAATAAGAGCTCTCTCCTTCTCTTTTTCTCGAATTGAGATTCCAGAGTTCGGAAAAGCCCTATAGATAGAGCGAGCCCGTAGGAGTATATGTATGCGTGAAGTGATGGATGAATGTGTCAAGACATGCGCGGCTAAACATCCACTATCGTTTCCGAGCCACACTAAACGTCGAATAAACGTAACTCGCCCCTAGGGCTCCGAAAAGTTGCGCTAAAGCAATGATGGGCTGATTTTTTCTGTTGAAAAACCAAACGGTATTGATTCCAAAAAAGTGCAACTCAAGATCGTAATAATCATTTACCGATACAATCCAAATTTTTCATATCCTTCGTCGAAATTCGTCCGCCAATCGTCCACTCGGCGAGCCAATTTTTTTCAATCTTTTTTTAAATTTTTCGAAGGTTTTAAATTGAAAATTCCATTTTCTGATCAAAACTTCGTTTGATACATCGCAATAATTTTTTTGAATTAACCTTCTTTTTCAAAAAAATTAGCAGTTTTTCAACAATCTTCAAAAACGATTTTTTTCCAAATCCTGTTTCTTCTTTTTCAAGATTTGTGAGTTATCGTGAATGATAAATATCTTTTTGCAAGAGAAGCTCTATGAAAAATATTTCGTTTTCCGCATAACGTCTTTCATGCCTGAACTACCAAGGACGTCTTTCTTATTAATTAGTTTTCCATCTTTCCTCCGAAAAATGAAAAAAGAAGACGAAGGGAATTTCAATTTTAACATCATGGAAACCAGTCAAGTTTTCGGGAATTTATTTTCAAACGAGACGTTGTAAGAACCAATTGGAACAAATTTATTATCATTGCTCAGTTGACAGTTGGTGTGAGAAGATTGAAAAGAGCAGTGGATAGACTGACTATTGCTTCGTTTTCAGCTATCGAAAAGAGACGAAAATCAATCTTCCCAAATTATTGTTCAATACTTTCAATGAGATATAAATTGAAACAGTCGCCCAATTTTGAAGAAAAATCAGTTTTTGAAAAATTTTAATGGCGATTGATTTCTCAACTGAAAGCGTAACAACGATAGGCTAAAAATTTCTCATTATATTAGCTTTTTAATATCTAAAAAAACAGGCTGAATAACAACTGAGAAAAACTAACCTCCATAAAAAGAAATCCTAAGAAAGTTTTTTTCTATGTCGATAAACCAAATTAAAAATTTTTGAAAAAACAACTCGACATGAGGTAAGTTCAAATGATGTTATCGATTCACTAAGAATATAAAAAACGCTAAAGTGGAACCGACCCAAATTCAAATTATTTTCTGATCGAAAATAATAATCTAGGACCACAAAAGAATCTAAACTTATCTGAATCATTTTGTGGTACGAAAGCGGATACGGCATAATTAACAACACTAGAAAAAATGAATTGAGACAAATTTTCATGGTAGCACTCGAGAATAGCGTAATAATTACCTGTAATTTTAACTTTTTTTTTTCAGTAGAATCCTAGGGCCTCAAAATTATCAACGCTATCATTTTCGTCAGAAAGAACGTTACCGGCAACAATTTTTTCGAAAATGAAAGCACGATGAAATAAATAAATGAAACCTATAGAGTGAGGCAACAAGATTCAATAGAAAAAAACGTTTTGGAAAATTGAACCGGAAAATTCAAAAAAAAATTATAATAAAAAAAGCGTTTTTGACAAATATTTTTGGCTTGAAACCTGTTAAGACAGGGTTGTATGGGTGGAGCAAAAAATGCAACTTGCGTGCGTGACTACCCGTCCTTGTTTTTTTTTCAGACAGAATCTACAAACTCTTTCTGAAGCAATGAAGCTGCAGAGAGCCTATGAAACAAATAGCTGGAGAAAACATAAGATAAAATGAGAAAGTTCAACGTTAGTATATCAAGAGGAAGTTGAAAACATCAAAGTCCTAGACAGCTGTACATTCCTCGAGGTGGAAGCAATGATTCTCTCGACCGCTGTGAGAAACGGACAAATCTATGGGATAGAGCTCGGGCTTGGTTGCACTCGAATTCATAGAATTACTAATGCGTGCCGTGAAGGCAAGTAAGCACTGGCGTGGGAATGCCGAGAGATAGTCCGCGACGGAGTCCGTAACGACGCGCAAAAGGATTTCAGCGGGCCCGCCTAATCTGAATTATGTACTACTTGCGGCAAGTCGAGTACTGCACCTCCATTCAGCTCTGCCGCGCGTCCTCCAACTTTTCTTTCAATTGTTTTAAAGCCGCGTCACTCTTCCCCAACCTCCCCACCAAATCGTCTTTCATATGCGCTTCACTGCCAAATGGGAAAAAAGTGCGATTTCTGCAGCCCTTTAAAGCAGTTTCTTCAAAATGAGCTCACCATCCTTTCAGGCAATATTTGACGAGGATTTGTTGGTCGCCAAAAAACTCGAGAAAAATTATCTCGAACGGTTTTAAAGCTCACAGTAAGAGCTTATAAAGTATCTCGAAAGTTGGTACCTTTCCAAAACTCAGCGAAATTCACTAGCAATGAAGTTCAAAGCTGGCAGGCTTCAAGGATATACGGAAAACTTGCTAAGCTTTACACTGAAGATTCAAGCCCAATAAAATGTTTCTTGATTTTTACCTTTCACTATAGATATGCCTAAAAGTATTATATTATTTCTTTGAGGGAAAAAAAAGGCTTTTGTATTTTTTGAGGCCCCAGAACACGGCTCGGAGGCAAACAGCAGATGATAAATTTCACGCTGAAATTGAGGTATTTCAAAGTACATCTTGACAAATTTCGGAGCTGAACTATTCGTAGAAATTGTTTGCCTAGAGACTATTAAAACGGCAGACTGTTAGAATATTTCCTTGAATAGAATGACCTCAAGTAGAATTGAAAAAAAGACTCTGATGAAGAGAAATTCAAATAAGATTTCATTTACGCTCTACTGAATTAAAACGCGTAAAAATTTTGAATAATGCCGCGCATATTAATGGCCTTCGCAAGACTGACACAAGGGAAGTCTGAGAAGAAAAGCTCGGGAAGAAGAATATCTCAAAATAAAGTATTATGCATTCTTAAGAACTTCTCCCGAGATGGCAGAACTTCCGCCGGTATTATTGATTCGGCAATGCATAAGATAGGTCTTGGTCTTTCTGAATTCTCTCAACTTGTTTTTTTTCCTCCTAAATCCAAAAGAATGACCATTGTGTCGAAAGTGATGGACAAAGAAGGACGAAAATTCACTTTTCGGAGAGTCTTTGCCAATTTTCCTACGAAATTTCAGTGGGAGACTTCTTTTTTTTGTATTTGACTATCGACGAAAAATTCCAAAATAAGCAAAAAGAAAACAAAGATATCACGGATAAATGGATTAAAAGGATGTTATTCTCAAAAAGTTTAACGGAAAACAGCAAAGTCATTGAAAGGTTTGCAAAAAATGTAAAGATATTGAGGAAATCAAAAAATGAAAAACTTAATAGAAAAGTTATCAAAAAAGGTTTTTACATCAAAAAAAAGTGTCAAAGGAAATCTGAAATGGAGCGCCAAAAAGGCGACGCAACTCATTTTGACTATTTCGTCGTTTTCTCGCAGCTAGATAACGACGAAATAGTGGGTAAATCGCAATTTTAAGAAACGGTATTTGAGTTTTTTGAATCCAAAAGTTTGGTAGTATGAAAAAAAAGCCAGAAAATTTTCGAACGGCGACTTTTTCGATTATTTCATATTGTAACTTCCCGACGGAGAAGTTTCCGAAGAATACTTTTTCCGACTTTTTTTCGATAAACTCTTTGTTTTGAATCTTCCAATATAAATCAGGTAGTTTATTCATCATTAAAAACACAAAGAAAAAAAGTAAAAAAATATTATTAGATGTACAAACAAAAATAAAGGAAAAAAAGTCGGAAAGCTCCCTAGCGATATGAAAAAAATCGAAAAAGTCGCCGTTCGAAAAATTTTTCTGGCTTTTTATTTCATACCTCCAAAAATATTTTATGTTGAAGCTCGGAGTTTTCTATTTAATAAGTCGAAGAAACTCTACAAAAATCAAATTTTATGCTGGACTTCAATCAGGCTGCACATAACTTCAAAAGGACATTAAAGTTAGACTTCTTCGAAGAAAGTAACAGCGAAAATTCAAACTCTGGAGAGATCAAACGAAACTGCGCTTTTGAATAAAAGCCTTTTATCAAAGATTGAACGCAGTAGTCGGAAAACGCTACAAGGAAACGTGAACTGAACTCAAAGAGAAGCACTGAAAACTGAGCTTGTACCTAGCATAAGCGTTTTTTTCCGCATCTCACTTGGCTTGTAACGTGTCCAAACGGACGGCTATGATGGATATGTGGGAGCTCGTCGAGGCCTCTGTCGCGAATAATAACTCGCTGGAAATGTTATCTCACGACTTGCCGAGACAACTTCGGAGACATTCCACCTCTCATTATGACAAATGTCTTGACGTTGCCGTTGACAAGCGTTTTATGTTTCTCCGGTCGCACTCGATGATAATCATTTTTCTTGTACTAGGGGCTTTTTGAAGGGCGATTCGGGTATGAAAATAAATAAGCGGTTGAAAAAAATCATTTTCAGTGGACATGTTATATTACTGCAGAAAATTGCTCTATGAAGAAAAACGAAATGTTGATTTCTTATAATCTCCACCTAGAACTTTTCCTGCAAATGTCGATTCTGCAATAATGACCGATATGTGTTTCATGCGTGGTACTGTCAAACGCAAAATTGAAAAACGAAAGTCATCAGGAAACAGACTTTGCAGTGAAAACAAGAAGCTGCCTTTTTCAGAAGTTTTTTGGACAAGTACATGGCATATTCACAAATCTCACCAAAAAATGATCTCCGGTGGGTCATAATATCGATAAAAAAATGAGCTTCGCTAATTTCAGGTCATAGTGAAACTCCATTTTGAAAATTTTCAACAACTTTTGCTACTAAAAAGCTTCCTTGCCTAAAACCGAGTAAAGTTCATATACAAATGTTGTGTTTGCAAAGGTGATATCAAAGACAAAATAAATCCTATTTTATTTACAGAAAATTTTTTTCATTTACAGATTTTTAAAAGACACTCAAAATGCCGTTTTTTGAAAACTAGGAAATCGATAAAAAAACTGGATTTAAAAAAATATAAATAAGAGGTTATAAAAAAAGGTTTTTTTGATGCTTCAAGTGAAAACCGAAAAAGTTTTTTTAACAGTTTAAGTTTTGATTTGAAAAAAGAAAAAGGCCAAAATTCTAAAAAAAGAAATCAGACTTCTCTGTCTTGTATAAATCTGCAAACTACGATTTTCCAACCAAGAGCTATGTGATGATATAATTTCAGTATTGTAGGGTCTGGCCAAAACAAATTTTTTGAGGAAAGTAATAGGGAGTAGAACCACAATTAGAGGTGCAAGTGATTTAGTAAAGAAAAGAAGAAAAGCTTGCAAAGCTTGTAAATGTTGCCACCCTCGAAGGAATCGAAGAAAAAAAACACATGAATTGAACGAAGAGAGACAAAAAAAGAAACAGACGGAGAGAAAAAAAAGGGACAACGGATACAAATCAGAGCATAATTGGATGAAGAACGTCAGCAGAGACTCAGTGGTCGCGGTAAAAACAAGAACAAAAACTGCGGATAGATTGCGTGATGATGGGAGGAGAGCTTTAAGGGCAGAAATGAAGTGAGTGCGTGCGTGAGTGAGCGTGAGTTGAGTGAGTGAGCTGTGTGAGCACGGCCTGGAGCCCATGCTCCTTCGAGACTGCGTGTATATACTTGTGGGGCGAGTGCATATCTAGCGGAAGCGATTGCCGCAAGCCAAAACTGCCCCAATGAGAAGAAAAAAGATGGCCGCCATGGCAACCAGCCGCCTCCGGAAAAATCTCCGGAGCTTCCAGAGTCATTCCTGAAAGGGCGCCGCCGGCCTTGGTCCACGGTCCGCGCTTCCGTCGCCGCTGGCCTGGCACATGCTTTTATGGCTTGCCTTTGTACTCGCCATTGCTTCTGGTGCCTCCACAAGTGGCAAGCTTTTCCTTTCTTTTTTCTAAATACCTTTTTTTTTTTTTGATAGCACCAGCTTGAACATTTACAAGGCGAAAAAGTGCAGATTAATTCGCGTTACTCAATTTTTTGTGAGTTCTGTCAAAATTTTTTTAGGTTTCGAATAGAACTCCAGGTGAAACTTTTGGAAAATCAGCCTTTTAGATGTATCCGGGTTCAAAATCTGAATCAGCTACAATCTAAATTTTTCGTCGTTTCAAAATTTCAGAAAAACAGCAGTTACCAAGTTGTGATTCATCAAAAAAAAAAGTTCAGTTATATAATTTATTCACCTTCACGATGATCAAATTATTTCATAAGGAACTGTTTTTTGTAAGGTTTGATACATTTTAAGCCAACATAAAATGGTAAGTGATACTCTGAAGCTTCGCTAAATTTTCCATGACATCTGCAGGTCCTATAATTTTCAAGATATTTTTCCGAATCAAAATAACTGAAACATAATTTTTTTTTTTTTTTGGTTCAGGTCTTTGGAAAGCCGGAGGCGCGTTTTTAGCGATAACTATCATTTCCATTATTTTTTTTAAGTATTTGATTTTTGTCGAATACTTGTTTTGAGCAGAGGCAATGAAAACGAAGCGCAAAAACGATTGATGCATTTGAACTTTCATTGTTTCTTAACTGCTTTTCCCCTTCCAGCGTATGGTTTTCACTGGAATGGAAAAATTTCCTGCGGTTGTTTTTTATGTTTCGAGCCTTGATTTGAAATTCTCGATTATGTGAAGATATTGCGATGCGTTTTGCCCCTAATTTCGAATTTTCTTTTTTTTGCAGTTGAGTGAAGCTTTCTGTAAGGAAAAGTTTCATGAATTTTGGAAATCGATATCTAATCAGCATAAGAATCAAATGCAAAAAGCTTCATTATTTTTTTAATATTTGTATTTATCATCAAATATTTTTTTCAAATGCTTCATGGCAGTTCATGAGGGAACTCGGAAAACGATTGAAAAAAAATGGCCGAAAGTAACGCAATAAGTGAAAAAAAATAGAATTGCATTAAATTAAAATTCAAAAAATTTACCCAGGGAGAACTCAAACACAAATAATCTTCGGGAAAGAAAAAACACGGGTTTGTCGTAGAGCCTGATTTTGAAAATGCGCGTTTACCAACTTGTTCTCTAGTGTGAATACTTTTTCGGCTTTTTCAAAGCTATTGAAATTTAAATCGAAAAAACAATATGTCTCCTACTTTATGAACTAAGATTCACGAGCTCTCAACAAAATGTTTCAAAATAAGTGTCTACATAATAACTTCTTTCAGAACCAGCTCACTTTATCCAGTTTCGATGGTATTCCACAACATGCTAGTTCTTTTTTGCAAATGTCTGGCCTTGACGTCAAGAAACAAAAAAAGAGATTCTAAATCAACTGGAAAACTCAAATTGAGATCAAAAGATCAAGGAGCTTGAAGCGGGTTTTTTAGATTTGGTAACTGAATTATTTGGCTTTTCTGATGAGAAAAAAAAGCTGGAAGTAGAAAAAGTCGCCTTTGTGACTACAGTATAGTGAAATAGAAAAAGTGAATAGCGCTAATTCTAATGGCTTCAAAAAAGTTATTTTTGGTGTCTGGGCTCTTTTGACTATTTTTTGTCTTTTTCGGAACCTTTTCCATTCTTTATGACAATGAAAAGAGTGAGGACATCACGAAATACTCAAAATTTGTATGAACGTGGTTCCATTTTCAAACTTTCAGATGGATCACCTGGAGTCTCAAACTCCTCTGAAAATGGTATATACTCGTCAGACTACATACTGCAACTTGGTAAAAAATCACTCATTTGAAAAAAAAAAACAGAAACAATAATTGAGAGTTTGAAACGAGTCGATTCGCAGAAAGCGACAAAGAATTGGAGCGACGTATTTCAAGAATAATATCCAACGCTTTCAAAGCAGCGACTTCGAAACACCGGAAGTTGGCGACACCAAGCTTCTCAGAACAAGAATACGACCCAAATGTTCGGGTTGAGGTACTACCTCACATAACCAAAATCACAAGTAAACAGAAAAGTTTGAAAAATAAAAGGTTAAGTGGCAAAGCTTGATCCATTCTCATTAGATTTTTCTATCTCCGCCGATCTTCGGAAGGATTTGGTGAGCAAAGTTATTCCACTTTTCATCATCATCATCTCCTTTTGAGCTTGGTCCCATTAAAACAAAGCCAAAAGCTCATTGGAAGGGTTCGCAATGAGTATTTGGACGCACATTACGATTAGCAGTTATATAGTGGGGAAGAAATATCAAGCAGAGGCAGGAGAGCGCAAGACGCGGCACATAACCCCTCGCCATTGCCAAAATCGATGTCTGACAGAGCTGGAGGAAGAGAGAAACAAGCCCTTCTCCTATAACTGCAAGATTTAACTTATTTGCCGGAAACTGACAAACTTTTTTCTTGATTAACTACTTCCGCTCCGAGACTTTTTTTTGCTTTTCTCACGGCGATGAGAGCTAATTTGAGCAAATAATTTCTTCTATCAGGGAAATAGTTCATTTAGGACAATTTCATAGAGATCTTGACTGAGAAAGAAAAAGAAGATTGCTTCAGAGCTAAAGATAATCAAAGAGCTCATTTTTAAAAATAAAAAACTCGAAAAAAAATTTGAAAAATAAGAAAAAGTAAGTGATCAATTGAAAAAAAGTTAATAAATCCATTTTTTTGATAATGACAACAGAAAAAAAGCTGTTTCACGAATTAGCGTAACATAATTAATAGAGATTTGATTGCTTGCTTAAACGAGATAATGTCGTAAGATTGTTGCTTTTTAGAAAAATGTAGGCTTTTATTTATTTTTCCCTTCTGTTCAAAAAAACATTTTTTTCCCAAAGACTATATGAGAAAAAAAAAAGATTTCGAAAGCGAAAAAATCGCAGCAAGCATTATAAGATGGAAATCTTCCTAGGGCGCTGCTGATTGCTCCTAACAAACGAGTGTTTTTCGAAAACAATCGAGTTTTTTTTTGGGAAACGCTTTTTTATAAGAAGCCAAGACCCAAAAACACGAAGGAACACTAGGCTAGATGAACAGAAAAATTAAACCGAGAGTTTGAATGTTTTCTTCAAAATATATTGGACATGAAAGTAGAATTGAGCTTTAGCAGAACTTTCCAAACATTCTGGAAAAGGGCAATGAATATACTCGCCCGAAATTGACAAATTCGCGGAAGAACTTTCAATATCTCCAAACTTTAATGAGAATTTTTTTAGAAAAGGGATAATAAGAAAAACTATGTTTTTCAGTTTCAATGGTTTCAAAATAAAAATCAAATCAAATTTCTAATAATTTCCAGGAAACGCCAACTATATTGCTTTTGACGTGACAAGAAGATTCACCAATTTGGGTTTACTTCCACTAACCTCTTGAAATGCAGAAATTTTTTCACAAACGCCAAAATTCAAATGGCTATGGGCCAAATAGTAGAGTTTTTAGTCCAATTATCACAAGTCTTATCTTCTAAATTTTTTTTCAAGCAAATCTATGGATACGTCAAACAGATCTATCAATATGTTCGAGATTCAGAAATAATTGAGAAAAGTTATAAGTTTTTTCGAATCAGAATGAGAATTTGTAGGTTGTGGGACGGAAGACGGTGCAAGAGCGGGCCCAACTGCACGTGGTGGTGTTCGAAGGCGGCGAGCTTCTGCTCGGCGAGGTACGAAGTTTCAAGGAGGCGCGTGCTTCTTCAGCGCCGCAGTGATCCCCTCTCCGCTGCTTAGTGCCGAAAGCAACGCCTTCGTAGAGCTGTACGCCGTCAAAGCAATCTTTTTAGGTGGTCGCCGGCGACTTGAACCTCCTCACTCCTACCTCCATCTCCGCTCTTGCCGGTTATCCTTTCATCAGAGTCATATGTGAGAGTTTTTTGAAGTGGACACTTAAGTACCTTTTGATTTTTTTCAGTACAGAAATTGAAAAGTTCGCAAATCGATCACAAGCTGTTTTTTTGAAGCAAGTTGAATAAAAAAATTACAGTTTTAGAGTTTTTCAAGTTACCTGAAAGTAACTATGAGATCACTCAAAAAAATTGTAATTAGGAGACTTGTGGCAATGCTAAAAAAATTCTCAAAAAAAGAATTCGTGCCGAAAGGCTCACGATCCGGTTCGATTGCTTGTCGCTCAAAGCTCCTAGTGATAAAGGGTTTTGTGTTAATTTTGAACAATTTCTTTGTAAAAAATATATTTTGAAAACGAAAAAAAATCTTCACAGCTCTCACAAGGTGAGTGTGTGAACATCGCAGATCTGGTCCAAACTTCTATGTTAGATAGTCCTAGAAACAAGTCCTTAAAATAGAAAGAAATATCTGCTAAGCACCATAGGGTACTGAGATATGGACTGTCGAAAATGTACGGAAAAGGCTCAAAAACTGAATTTCTTCGGTTTCTCGATTTTTAAACGTCTTCTGTTATTCACTATATCATTAGAAATACAAGAAAAAAACTTTTTTCACAAAAAACCAAGGAAATTTTATTTTCCATCTTTTCCTGTACATTTTCGTCAGACTATTTTTCAGTACCCTATGAAGCTTAGCCAAATATTTCTTCTGTTTTTTTGATTACTCATATCTAAGACAACCTACCACAGAAGTTTGAACCGTATCTGTGATACTCACCTCACACAACACCCGTTAGAAAAAGTTAAATTTCTCATTCGTGTTTTTGGTCGTTAATGTACCAATAAAGTTTTTTTCAACGGATATTTTTTTTGAACGAAATAAGAACTTTTTCAAGTATCTTTCATGAAAAATTATCTGGGATGAATTTATATTTTTGAGCTGCAACCTCTACATCACAACAAATTTGAAAAATTGTCTTTATATTCGATTATTCTTAATCAAAATTTTTCGATAGCTTTCTAGCGCTGTGGTGAAAAAAAAACTCAGATACTTCGGTGCAGGCTTGTGCGTCAGTCCGGGCGGGCCGGGCTATGGGCCTAACTTCTGAGAAAAAAAAACCTACGAGGGCTAGGGCCGAGCTCTGAAAAATTGGAGACTTCATTGCAGAAATTTTTAACGAACAATCTTTTTTACTTTTGAAATCATTGTTATTGTTGAACTCTAAGTGAAAAAATAAGCAAAAACGCGATTTTTGTCTTAAAAAACTTGATATTCGACTAGATTTTTTTTTTAAAAGAATCATTTGAAAAAATCTTTTCATAGCATTTTTTTTTCTTTAACTCGTATTAAAACAATGAATATAGCTTTTAGTCACAAATATCACCATATTCACAAAGAGAAAGTAGTAAAAAAAGCTAAAAAAATTTGCAATTTAAATTTTCCAATAATTTCGAGTGCTATAACTTTGGAAAAAGTCCGACGAAACCACTTCAAAAACGCGTACTATGCTCTAGATCATGGAAAAATTGGTACCAATTCACAAAAACTCACACTAAATTTCAAAAACGAAAAAAAACTTGATGAAGAAACTTATATTTCGCGGAAAATTTAGCAAGCACGCTCCAAAGTTAGGTTTGAAAACTTTACTATTTGCTTCACTGCGTGGAAACGCCGTGTCACACGAAATATATTATTAGGACATGAATAACATCACTTTAAAAATAGCGGGATATCTATCTTTTTCAGGCAGCAAGGACATCGAGAGAGCGAGCGGCGAACGATGGTATATTATTGGTATGGATTTCGTGAGATTTCTCACCTTATTAAACAATTTCTTATAGGAATCCTACATTATTTTGTGGGGTTACTTGAAATAAAGATATAGCTACTATTGTAATATCTGCATGATACTTTTTGCACAACTTCTACATCTTTCTGTATCTGAATCTTCTGAATTTCGTTCATTAAAGAACACAAAAGAAGGTGGAATCATTACAGTCATGATCATCGCTTCCGGAATTCTTGTTTTAATGCTTGGATGGTGCATATTGTTCACGATATTCAACACATGCGCAATTCGTGCCGGAACCAATACAGAGGGAGTTCATCGTGACAGTGACGTGAAACCAAGCTTCATTATCAATCCGCATCCACCATGGACAAGAGGGTGAGGTATTGAAATTTCAAAAAAATTTTCCGATGAACGTTGAAAAAATGTTGGCGACCTCGATTTTTACGTTGGACATAAAAAATGCATTTTTATACCATTCATCTTGACTACATGCTCTTATTTTTACAAATGAGTAATTTGAGAATTTAAATTCAAAGCTGTCAAATAAGTAACATGACTAAACTCTCTGCGAATCTGGCGCGCGTAGAAAAATAAATTTTCTAGACTCAAACTTGAAAATCAACTATTTTGAATCGCATCTCTGGAAAACGAGCAAGCCGATCAAAGTTTAGCAAAAGAAAAAAAAAACCTACTACAGTTGTCCTTCTAGGTTGAGCCCGCAGCCTGTAGTGTCGAGTGTGATATAGCCAAAATTCCATAAAAAGGTTGCGCTTCTAGAGTCTACGACCATCCATTGGGTTCGCCGTGGCAGGACCCACTGATGACGTCAGACGTCCTCGCCGTCGCCGATGCTCCTGCAACTCAGAACCAACGTGAGTGACGTCCAAAAACAACAATGGTCCAGTAGAGAGGAAAAGAAATTTCTTTGAAGCCCTCCCTCGGCAGAATTTAAGGCCTCTGATGCATTATAAAGTAAACTCCCTAATTTGCTCAGACGCTCGGAAAAATAGTGAAGAAAGTACAAAATAAAAAAGTTCCGGCCTTGAAATTGAATAACTAGACCAGAAAGGGCAAACCCATATATATGCAAATGGGAAGAAAAAAAACTGAAACGAGTCCAGAGCAAATCTTACCATTCGGCAATTTGAGAATGCTCCAACCAATGCTATTTCTTCGAGAGGCTTATGAACGATTGCGATTGGAACGAAATACAATTAGATTAATATAGCTTTAATAATTTGTGAGCGGTGAGCTTCACGTAAATGATTTTTTCTTGTTTTTTTTTCTGAAGGAAGTGTAAAAAGACGAGAAAAAATATTTTTGAGTCGGGAATACAGAAAACCCTAAGATTGGCGGACGCAATTTCGATAGCCTCCTGATGGGAGTTTTCACGGGGTTAAACGTTTTCCTTTTCGTTTGCGAGCTTTTTGAAACTTAAATTTGTGGAGTTCTGATCGAGATTCCCATTATTTGAAGCGACATCCTCTCAATCAAAAAATGAACAAAAAAAGAAAAAAAGAAAAAAGAATTTCAAGTGGAAATTTCTGGAAAAAGAATTTCAAGTGGAAATTTTAAAAACCTATTCCAGTACATCAAATGAAATTTCCTGATCTTTTCATTATAATGAGCCATCTGTCAAACATGCATGCTTTAACAGGCTTTCATTTCTAACACAAAAAGGAAAAACTTGGCAATGATTCTGTGAAGAAATTTCAGAAAAAGAAGAGCAAGTAAGTCTAAATCTTTATGTTAAATAGTTCAAAGAAGAATCAATTCATCTAACTTATTGTGAAAAATTAAACAGTTACAGAAAGGTTTTGCGCCTTTTCTTTCGCAGTTTTGGAAAAAAACATCAAAAAGAGCTTCATTTACCTCACTACAAGAAGATCAATTACAGTACCCACACAGAAGATCTAACGTATGTTTTGAGGATTTGGTTAGTACGATTGTTTTGATAACTGCCAGAAATGGGAAAAGAACCCCCAGACTACTGAGTTTTTCCGGAGTTTCATGCAAAAAAAAGAAAAGTTTGGATGGGACTTCCACAATAAAAAAGGCTATGCCCCACGACCATTATATTATGCGTCAATAAGAAGGAGCGAGCAGAATATAACAGAAGTTGAGCTTCGCGCCGAGCATTTAACATTCCCTGGGGTATTCCTGAAACTTCTTATAAGGCAACTGCCATCCTGGAAAAATATCCAAGGGTGTTCCATCTTTTTCTCCAGGCATTGTATCATTTTTCACGCATCGCTGTAATCCGATCTTATCAAAGTTTTCCTGGAGATTCGTCTTTTCTAACTGAAGTAAAGTTACATCGGACCTTGGTAGCGCGAACTGGGCTCGAATCGGACATGTCGAAAAACTTCTAGTGACCACTTTAGTAGCCTCAGAGTTTTCAAGCGATCTTTAAAAATGCCCAAAACGTCCACAGCACTTCCGATGTGCGTTACCGAGGTCCAAGTACAATAATTATAATTAAACCTCTTCTTCACAATCGCATTAAAAAAAATCTAATCTTTTTCATTGTTTTTAGGCGAATCAAAAAATAAGTTGTTTTTACCTATTTCTCACGGTCCGTTAAAAACACAGTTAAATAAAAATTCCTCTACATTCTCCAGCTATTGTGCTTTGAATGAATCAAACGAATAAGAACAGTTGTTCTTAATGTTTTTCTACAAAGAGTAACCTAAAAAAAAACCCAAAAACTCTTGAAAAGGCGAAAAAAGGCATCACAGTTAACTCAACATCAATATATCCTGAAAAACAAGGAGAATTTCCGAGCTGTACGAAACGCAGCTGGAATTCCTTATAGAAAGGTACGACTGCAAAACTTGGACAAAAAACAACGTACCAAGATTTGCAGGTGTTATCGGACAGTGGTTAATTAACTTAGAATCGAATGAAGCCAGTTGTGGGAGAAAGTTGGTTTTGAAGAGCTGGTTGAAATGGTAGACGCGGCGACGGAAATCGAAGAAGGAAGAAAGCGGACGAATAAAAAGGAAATGGTCTGGCGAAAACAGAAACGACGTCGAGAGACCTTTGGCAAAGGAAAATTGGCAAAAGTGGTACCAACAACGGAAACAAGTCACACGGACTCCACTGGTACTGATGAAGACCAGGTGAGAAAATTGGAAAAAAGTCATTTTGAAGCTCGAAAAAACACATACTCCATTCTTTGGTGATTTTCTGGGCTTTTAGAGGCGTCAAACCTTAATTATAGTTTTCGTGGGGGTCAAAAAAAGGCAGTTTTCCATGATGAATGGTCGTAAAACTGTGAGTCTTGAAGCAGAAACCTTCCGAGAATTCAGCAAACAAAAATGAATGGTTTTTAATTTTCAAATGCAATTCCTCGAGAGTGAAATGAATTTTTCGTTTTCCATATCATTTTTCATTCGTGAGGAGCAAAAAGTCAGCGCTTTTTCACTTATTTTTGAAAAAACCTCAAAAAAAAAGGCAAGGGCTATCAAAAATTTCCGATATAATAAAATTCCGTCACCAGGTAATCGACTTTGTGAGTGAATTTATGAAGCCCGTAGTTTATCGACTTACCAATAAGTAGACTAGAAAAAGCCATTGTATAAAAAGTGACTGAATATAAGCAAGATGATGCTCAGAATATGGAAGTCAATGAACGTTGTGAAAAAGATTCAGGCGATGGCTGTCGGGTTGTTATTTTTTCAATTGTAGGCTTTTCAAAATTTATTACAAGCGTTGCCGGTGTCCTGCTTTTTCCAAACGCGGGAAATCCTCCAAATAGCAAAAAAAAATCAGTAAAACGTCTCTCCTCGGTTCAAAATTCTTCCCCCGTTCTCTATCTTTGGGATATGAAGTTACCATGTAGTAAAAAAAGTCGAAGAAAAAATTAAAGATTCAAAAAATTCATCGTCTACCTGGTTTTCAGATACGTAAAGAAAGATTGATTGAAGAGATCGAAGAAGAGTTTGTGAGAACTGCAAGGTTTTTTTTCCAGTTAGCTTCCTGGGAAACAAAAAAAGTTTCAGAAGCGGCGGAACAAGCGGCAGGGCGGCACGCCCCAAGTCGGCAACAAAACAACGACATGGTCTATTTGGACGAGGTTAGCAACGCAATATATCAGTAAATTGTACAAACAAAGTGCCGCCGCCAGGAGCTTTTTTTCTTATTTTTTTTTTCATTCTCCCGCTAGAGCCGGTGGAAATTTGTTCGTTGTCATACTCATCGCTCCACTAATCCTAGCTGTCCTTCTCGTAATGACTTTTGCTTCTTGAGCTTCAGCGCTCTACGAAAATTTTCTTACTAACTGGTGTACATCCGATAACATAGGGTGAGATGAGGATGTCTTTTGGATAGTACTTCTGAAGAGCTCATGGTCATGTTGATATTTTTTCATGACAGAATGTTTTGAGTATGGCGAAACATGTACTGGATAAAGGCCTGCACAACCCCGAATTTCGAGAACCAATGTCTCGAAAATAGCTTCTCTGAAAACTAAGCTGAGAATATAAAATTTTGAAAAAGTCCAGAGAAGTTTGCAAAAAGGACTCTAAAATGATTTTTCTAATTGGTTAGAAGGCCAAAACCAAAATTTTTTTCTGTTTTCTGAAGATGCGCAGCTCAGTTTTTCAATTTGTGTAGTTCCTTAAAGTCTCTTGTAATTGCGGATTTGCAAAAAAAAACTTCAAGAAAAGTTGGGTTTAAAAAAGATTTATACTTTTGTATATTAGAGAAAAAATGGATTTTCACTGTTATACTAAGTACTCACAAAAATTTTTTCTCCTTTAAAATAGGACGCTTCCTATTCCCAGAGAAAAGAAAAGATTTTTTTTTCTACGAAAAACTCGTTCGGCATAATTTTGGGTTCAATTTATGGCCCACATTTTGGTTGGGTCGACTTCGATCTTGTATAAATCTCACTAATAGCACCATTGGCATGAGCTCGTTGGGCTCCATTTCCGTCGGCTCTTTCTTTTTTTAATCGTATACATTTTGAGAGACATAAACAGCAAATTAGACGCGAATATTTACAGATGAGAGTCGAAGATTGGAGGCGCCAACGCTTTGGACCACCGAAAACGCAATTGCCAATTATAAAACAAGGGTGAGGATTTCCAAGCTTGAAAAAAAAGCATCGCCTCAATCAAGGGAACTGAGATTTTCCAAAAAAAGGGGTCTCAAAATGATTCGGGTACTTTTTCTTAAACTCATGCCAGATTTTTCCAAGATTTTATTTCACATATTATGACTTTTTTAAATCAATAAAGGTCTTCTTACAAATGATTCTTGATGAAGATACAAATTCCATTTGGCCAGTTACTTTTTCAGCATTTTTCGAGTGTTCTCAAATTTTAAGATAATAATAATAATTTGGGGGTTGTATCAGTTTGTGATAAAACATTAAACTCAATTTGAAACTCAAATCGGGACAGAACAACCTCTCAGAATGAGAATACTCGAAGACAGTTAAATCGTAAATTCAAAATTGTTTGAGCCGATAATTCGCCGAGCTTTAAAACCCCAGTCCGAAGGAAAACTTGCTATGAAGTTGGTTCCACTTTGAAACACTGAAAATCGAAAAAAAAATTACCGATTTACTTTTTTCTTTCTCAATAACTCATTTCTGAAATTTGATCCCTTTTTTGAGATACCATCTTTGTGACGTAGAAAAATGAGCAAACGTTAATCAAATGTCCGCATTCACCAGCTCACGAGGAAATGAAAATTTTATCTTGTTTTCTTCATCTTCTCAATTTCCGGAGAATCCAGTAATGAAAAACTTCAGACCCTTTACCCAGCTCCGGCCGATGTTTCTGAGTCGGGAATCGTGGAAGTCAGCAATCTGAAACAACTTGCAAAAGCATGAAAACTCCAATTTTGTGCAACTTATGAAACGATTCTTCCACATATCTGTATTCCGTTTACGAATAAGTACAACTCTTCATTTTAGTTTCTCCTAAGTGCCAATGATTTACATTATTCCCCTCCGAATAAATAACATATGAGTATTGTCGAATTGTGATAAAAGTGATAAAATAAATCATTCATGTGATTTTGAGACACGTGAGTTTTTCGAGCCAGAAAATTCGTTAAACAGACGGAAAAGCTCAGATAATCAATGCTTTCTACTTTAAAGCAGATGCTGAGAAAAGATTAAACACGCCCTATTTCTATTCCTGAATTTCAATTTTTGATTCGAAGACTAGTCTTTCAAGACTGAAGCTTTTCCGTTTTTTTTCTCAAGGAATCAGAAAGCCGTTGCTCAATTATTCGAGGTCGTCAATTTTGAGTCGAGATTATTTAGTTGTTCAAAAATTTTCGAATCAGGAAAAATTGCAAATCGCCCTTCATTTGTTGAGTGAGAAAAACATTTCACGATAAAAAAATTGCCGGTTGAATAACTTTCTGTGGAAAGTATGACTAGGGGGCGCAAAGCCCCGCCCCTTCACGCCACCAAAATGACGATTTTTTTGTTGCAAAAACGGTTTTGAGGCGTTTATACTAGCTAAAGTCCCACTTTAAAAATGAACTGTTTCTGTTAATCTATGTAATCGACAACGCTCTACAAGACTGAATATTTTTTTTAAACTATGTATTTTTTTTCAAAAAAATAAGCGAAAAAAAGTAAGATTTAACACAAAAAAACTGACAAGTTTCACAAAAATCGTCGCGTTTCAGAAAAGCAAGTGAGGAACGCTTCTAAATTTTAAGTATGTTATACATTAACACTTTCTTTATTTTTTTGAGTAAAAAAATAAAAATCTACCGACGCGAAAAAAATATTAAAGCTTGTAAAGTGACACCAAACTTTGAAGCTGAAATGCGAAAAAAATTTCAGCGAAATGGTATACTTTTTATTTGATTTAAAAAACTAACAGTGTGTCCAAAAAAATAAAAAAATTCAAAACGAAAAATAATTATTGGGACAGCGAATCAAATTATATTTGAGTTTTACCAAAACCTCCTTTTTTTCGCCTGCCTCGTTGACGCATGAGAGAATAGGATCGCGTCTATATTTATGATTATGTTATTAAGCGTTCAAAAACTCTATCAATGAAAAAAATTATGAAAAAATCGATCGACGCGAAAAAAATAACGGCTTTGAAAAACCTCGAAAAAAATGGCAATTTTTTTGAAATTTCGGAAGATTTCGTGCAAGTGTCCGTAGCAGTGTTTGCGTCAAACACACCGATGCGCCCTTTTAAATGTCGCAGGAGCCGTTTTTTTCGGAGTCAAATTGCACTTTTTCCTGTTTTTATTTCGAAATAACATTGTTTTTTTCATTTTTTTCTTTTTTTCCAAATCGAATGATAATAATTTTTTTCTGCGTAGAAAAAAAGAAAAAAATAAGCTGAAAAAAATTCCTTTGACCTTTTTTTCTAGGTAGTTTTTTTGATATTTTATCAAAAAAATTCTTATGAGGATTGTACAAAAGATTCATACCAAAAACATGAGGCTCAGTTCGGACAACCTCTCAGAACAGAAAACCGATTTAAAAACGGTCCTGAACCGCGTAAAAACATTTAAAAAGAAAGCGTGCGGCAGCGGGTAAACCGTGAGATTTTGCCTCCAGTTGTACGCCGCGCGCGCTCGTTTTTTGGCCATAACTTTTTTCTTAGTGAAGCTTTTTTCAAAAACTAAACGGATTATGAAAATGGACAGTCTCCTCTATCGAACAATGTGAAAAACATATTTTTTGAATCGTTCTGAAGAAATGGCTTGCGGTCCCTAAGTATGACTGTGCATTTTCGGCCGATGACAGTTTTTTCGATCCTCGCATAATGCTTTGCTTTCATCGGAAAGATGTAACAATTTGTCATTTCCATCTTTTCAGAACGAAAATCCATTTCAAAAACAAACTTGATTAATAACCTGTTTTCATGACATTGTTAATTTGGTCGCTTCTACTCTCTAGTGCAAAGGTGAGTGAGACGGCTGATAATTGAATTAAATGTGGCTGTTGTTCATGTCCAGGCGTACATTCGCAACAAATCCTCTGGGTAAATTAGGCCAGTCATCCCTACAGAAACATGTGCCAATTAAATTATTGCCAGAGCGAATGGAAACAACGACCACTCTTCCGGCAGTTATCATAACATCTCGTCGATTGAAATGCGCCCTTCTCAAAAGGCTTGCGTGCTTTTTCCTCCTTGTTAAAATTGTATTGCCGAGCAACCAATTTTCGGTTTTCCCATGTGGGACCATGCAGTTCCTTTTCCACCTAATGAACCTCCAATCCTCAGTTTTACTCCCATTCTCCGCGCTTTCTTTTTTGAAGTGTTCATTCTTTTCTTTTTAATTTGAGTTCAGAGCCTGGTGACGCACAAGAGTTGCGTGGGTGATCTTCAGGCGAAATCATTTGCAACATCTTTTTCGTACACTTTTAGAGTATGAGCCAAAGTGGCTTCATTGTCGATGAAGTTGTTTGAGGCACCGTGCAAGCTTGCGTGCCGCGGCAGTCGCCATTTTTGTGGCCAAGCCCTTCACGGCATGTTTCTTCCCTGTGCTCTGCTCGTCCTCGTCATCGCCGCCCTGGCACAAGTCTGTTCATTTTTTATTTCATTTAAAAATTGATCCACTGAAATATAGAATAATTTTTTTCAACTGAAAAAGTTGACGCTGCTGGCAGAATAAATGCCCTGCTTGACGAACTCCAAACTTATATCTGATCATTTTCACAAAGAAAAGACTTTTTTAGCCGGTTTCTAACAGCTACGTTCAAAAACGGGAGAGTAGAAGTTTTCGGGCCTTCGAATATTTGTTTATACATTATCAAAGACTTTGAATCTACAATTGAACTAACTTGGATGGACTCGATTATCAGGACTTGGAACACTATTGAACAAAAAATAATAGCTTCGCAGATTTTTCTGATTTATAAGATTTTTTTTGAAGAATTCATTCTATAAATTGCCGTGTAGCTGCACCAGAAAGCTTCTCATCTGTTAATTATTATTTTGAAAAAAATGTATAAGATTTATTTACCGAATGAAGCTCAAGCGTACAGGAAAAATGTTCACTATCCGAACCAATTTCTTCCAAACATATATAATAAAGCTAGAAGAATGCCCAGGACTTTTTCTTTAGAGGAACCAAATCTAGTCAGAGTATTTTAATTTCTCTAGCTTTCGTCGGATAAGTAATTGAAAAAAACAATTATTTAAGTTTTTTTCATTCATAAAGCTTACCAACCCCTTTTTAATTTTTTTTGTAAAGTTTTTGAAAAAGTTAATATTTCAAGACAATTATCATTCTAATGTTTCAATGTTCCATTCTGTGGAAGACGAATTTCCCGTTAGAGTGCATGATTAATATTTTGTTCGAATCAACATCCCATTTTTTGATGTTTGATTCTAATAATCTTCCTTTACGCCCGTTTTTCCAATCGAAATTTCATACGATATGAAGTCATTCACATGCTCGAAAATGGAATGAGGATGTGTGATTTTTCTGGATTATGATGAAATTCACTGGGAAACAAGCCGTCTGGTGGAAAACGTTAAAATTAGCGCTTAAGCTTTGATCTGAGTCCGAAGATATATAACATTGATTCAAATGAAGAACTAGTCGAGAAAAAGGAAGGCATGGAAATTGAGCACAATGAGTTTATTCGGAAAAAAATATTTTCTGTGAACTTTTTAGTGTACCTGAAAATGTTTTCAAAATCTGAGAAAAGCTGAAATACAATGGAAAAAGAATTTTTGTCAAAAAATGAACAAAAAAACTTTCATTGGGCTTCTTTTTTTCTTTTCAAAAGGCTTTATTACTTTACCTTTTTTTATTTACCTTTAAACCCTAATCATCCTTATTCCCTTGTTTAAAAAAAAACAAAATTTAAACTCCAGGGGGCTTCTTTCCTGCAGAAAAGCTCGGAGCTTGGAAACAGAGACATGCGGCGCTTGGAGCTGGTAAGAAAAACCAAGAAAACACCGTTGTATTTTCTTTTTTTGCAGGAAAGCGGCCTGAGAAACAGTTTGGAATATTTGGAGCGAGCCCTTTCCAGGTCGACAGGGGCTACCAGCTCCTACTTCCAAAACGCTGATCCAGGTGCTATCGACCTTTTTCCTTATAAGAGTCGCAAAAACTCGGTTTGCAGACGCGTTGCGGACAAAGAGATGCAGGTGGAAGCTTTGCGGTACAGGCCGTCGGTTTAGATACAACTAAACGGATTATTCTCTCTATATCTACCTTTTTCTAATCAAATCCTCAACAGTTTTCTTTCCGATGCATTCCGTTCAATGTGCGTGTTCAATTATCAATGTTTCAATTTGTGAATGAAAGGTCTGATGTGAGTTTTATTCAGCTTCAGATAAATATTGTGAAGTACTTCTACTATTCACAGAAGTTGGACTTCGTATTCCCACACTTTGTAGACAAGGAAGCTGAAGGTCCCAAAAATAGAGAAACGTTGCAACTGAAGTCGCCAGCTGGGTTCTGCACTTTTTCGTCTTAGAAAAAGAAAATTTTTTGCGGAAACACAATATCTTAGAAAAAACATTTCCTTAAATTAAAACGGAACATTTGTTCTTTTGATCTCATAAAGCTTCTAATTGGATTTGGTGAAGTCATAAATTCGGATAAGGTTGTTTTCCAATGAAGAATGGTGGAAGATGAAATTCTGGTCAAGAGAAAAAAATACTTCGATTGTCGAATTTGGAACAAGTGTTAGGTTGTTTTCTAAGTTTTTTCTTTTTTGAAGGATTTTTTTAAATAATTTTCAACGAAAAAAGTGCTTCTTACAATTTTACTACACATAGTTAACTAGTACACATTCAGAAGTTCAGGTGAAATTTAAACTTATTCCTACAAGAGAAAGCAGAAAGAAGATACAGTATTTTGTTTGCTCTTTAAAGTCTCAATTTTTTTGGGAAAAAGTTTTGGGAATTTATTTTTTTCATCTTATTTTTTTAAATCTTCTAATTTAAACAAATTACATGAAAAAGTAAACTGAGGATGTTTGCTTTTTCATGAAAGCTCCGAAAAATTTTTTTCGAAATGATTGAATTATTCAAAGCCAGAATATTCGAATTTATGATTGGCCAACAGTATTGAAACAACGTGCATCCTATTTTTGTTTGATTTTTCCCGAAATAATTTGGTAATGATTTATTAGATTTTTGGGTTCTGGAAAAAAATTATAAGCCTAACATCAGAAACCGGCAGCTGCAGTGAAATTCGAGGAGTTATTTTTACAGCCTTTTTTTCGTCGAAGAATTTTTTTATAGTACCAATGGCAGTGGTTTCTATCATCTCTCGATTTTTTTCTGTTCTTTTGCTATCTCTCAAGTTAATAAAAAAAAGAGTACAACAAAGGTCACTGCAGCCATGTGTCAAAGCAGAAAAGGTTCAACTAAGCTTCTCCGGCCTAAAATTGTGTATGAAATTAAGGACTTCATGGCAAATTTCTGATCACTTTTTTAGGTTTGGAAGTTGAAGATAAAAGATCTGACAAAAAAGTCGATTGATCCTTAACTCATATTTGCTGACCAAGACGGCAGTTGCGGTAAACTTTGCGGGGTGGGACCACAAACACCGGACTATTTGCCGTACCAGGGGGCCAGTGACGCCTTTTCGCTCAAAGGTTCTCTCTCTCTCAGATCCGTCGCGGTATTCTCGTCTTGATATTCTCGTCCTTAATGAGGCTGCTATTTTTCCTGTTTACTATTTTACATTTGGCCAATTCACTTAACATTCTCATATTTTTGCTCGGAACCAACCAATTTGAGAGGAATATATTCGAGTTCCTTGCGCAGCAGCTTGCGCTACGTCACCACAACGTCATTACGGTGAAGCCTGTTTTGATTCCCGAAGAGCCGCGGCTCGTCAAGCCGAAGCTCCACCTCGTTAGAGAGAAAGTTATCAAAAACACAGTGAATAGGTTGGAAACCCAAATTGTAAAAAAAGAAAAAAAGTCTTCAGGGATATTTATGAACCGTTGGAAAACACGGTCACAAACGCCGCATGGAACGAAGGTTACGACGAAGAAGATTATCTGAAGTCTTACTATAAAGCTCATAATGCCAGTTGTTACAAGGTTGGAAGTCTAGAATATTTTCATCCACTTTCTATAATTTTCACTATCAGCAAAGTTTTGTATAGATAAATGCGTTCTCTTCAAGAAGAATTGTTCCTTACAAAATGCTGAAAAAAATGAATTATTCATTATTATTTGACTGAAGTTGTATTTGAACGAATTATAAACACGTGGGATGAGTTTTGTGTTAGGTAAGGTATATTCTTATCATTTAAGTTTTAGAAAGATTCAGAAAAAAGTTTCTGATTTATTGCAGTTTTAAACCCTCTCAGAAGACCATTTCTTTATCTACTCATATTCGTTCTGAATCTTTCAGATGCTCAACTCGAACCTTGTCGCTTCTTTGAGCAAAGAATCGTTGGACGTGGCGATTATTTACTCCGGAAACCCTTGTTTGGTCGCTTTGACACATTTGATGGCAGTTCCGACCGTCTACTTTGATTTGGAAGGTCTCTCTGACGAAACGTTGGTCGCGGCCGGCGTGCCCTTCCTACCTGGGGCAGAGCCTTCTTCCTGCTCTGTTTTCCCTAAAGTTTGATGAAAATTTCAAACTCATACTACTCTTGAACTTTCCAGCAGAGCAACCCTGTTTTTGCAATGATCCGAGCAGCCACCTGTCAATTTCAAGAGTTGATCGCTCAAAGCGATATTCCGTTCGTGTCTTCTGCAGTTTCGAAAAGGCATCGACAACTCGATGAACCAATTTCGTCGATGTTCGCCAACGACTACAGCATCAAAAAAAGGTTTTTTCTAATCAATTCTCTCAGAAGGTTTTCGGCGGCGCTTGTAAGACTTTAGCGGTCATAATTGATCTGTTAGAATTTAAAGTTTAAAAATTTCTCCGAAATTTAAGTGAATTTTTCTCATTTTATGCCCGCGCGGTTCGCTAGCACTGGTCTGTTTCTAAAAGTTCCCTAATTTGACTTCTTTGGCTTTTCAGTTCTTAACAAAACAATAACAGGTACAAGAGCTTTCCAAGCGTGAACGCCTTGAAACAGCAAAGCGTTCTCTTTTTGGCCAACACCGACCCGTTGCTAGAGCCGCCACGTCTTCTGCCTCCGCATGTTGTTCAAGTTGGAGGTGTTCACATCGATCATCCTAAACCATTGTTTTCGGTGAAGCTTTCCAATATTTCGATACAACTTGAAAATTTTTCAGCCATGGAATACGACGATAGAAAGTGCAGCCGATGGAATGATTATCGTGTCATTTGGGACCCAAGCTGACGGTAGCAAAATGTCGGCGAAACAGGTTTTTTTTTGATTTTTTTATTAAGTCGAAACAAAAATTGATAGGCAAACGCTGTTCTGGAAGCTTTGAGCCAGTTAAAAACCTACCGCATTTACTGGAGAGTCGGACCAAACCTCAAATTGGAAGGAATCGACGTTGAAAACGTTCCATCGCACATCAATCTAACCACTTTCATCCCTCAGAATGATTTACTCGGTAGAGTAAGTTGGTAGAAGTTATTATTTTGTCTTTTTTAGCTCATAAAGCTTGTCGCTTGCTGGTGACTAATGGTGGAATGTCTTCCTTGATGGAGGCTGTGGCTCATGGAGTTCCAGTTGTTGGTGTTCCTTTATACGGCAGCAACCGGCACAATCTCGGAAAAGTCGTGGCTAAGGTAGTTTTAGCAAATGTGAAATGTTCATATATGTTCTTTCAGGGCTTGGGAATTGTCGTTGAGAAGAGCGACCTCAATGGAAAGAATCTGTTGACTGCAATGAAGAAAGTTTTGGACGGCGCCAAGTGAGGAAAATTCCAAGTTGTTCATTGGCGTTCCTTTTTTTTCCAGATACAAAACAACGGCGAAAGAAATGTCAAAAGAATTCCGGTCACGACCAGCTCCTCCTTTTGCGTTGTTGCTGCACAATATTGAGCACATTGGTCGCAACCATCGCTTCGCATATTTTGCTGGGAACGTTTTGGAACCGTACAAACGTTTTGATTTCTATTTCTGCTTGCTCTTGATTGTTGTTCCAATTTATATTCTCAAGAAGCTGGTTTTTTCCCTTTTCCGCAAAATTTTTGCAGGCTCTAAAGTGTCTTCACCAACTCCTAAAGATACCTCGAACTCGAAGAAAAACCGTTAATATTTCTCTTATTTGTTGTTTTTTCATTAACAATACGTGTCATCGTTACGCCATACTCAATAAATAAAACTTTTATTGATTTTTCGTTGTCAAGATATAATTACATCCCTGAGCTGTAGAACGGCAAACCATGTTAAACAGCTGGCAAGTAATAATACAAGAGAAATTGTACAAAAAAATAATTGCTCTTGTTGAGAAGAACTTGAGAGATTGTGTTAAAACAGGAAGGCAACCCTAAAATCTAACAATTTAACAAAATCTTTCAAAAATCGAACATTTGTATGTCGGAAAGCTGACGATGGAATCACAAAGTCCAGCGAATTCCCAAGACAAACTTCCAAATTTGCTTTTGTTTCATCGGCAGAAGAACACTTTTCGCTGGCTGAAAAACATTTGAATTGGAAAAGTTTCAAGACTAAATTGAGAAATTTTTCTATGAATTCTCCGCAAGATAAAAAATAGTTAAAACATACGCAAAAAAAAAGATTAATAGGACATCTCAGTGTCATCATTTTCTCTGAGTTACCTCGCAAACAAATTTTTTGTTCCGTGGTCAGCTTTTCGTTCTCAGAAGGCTCACTCAGAAAAAAAGCAGAACAGTACCTGAAAAAAAAGCACTCAAAATTTATTTAGAAACTTTTCGAACCTTTCGTGCATCCGAGCGCAAGATGCACAACAGCTCTCTGGAAATCTTCTTCGGGGATACCTGTAAACTCGATTTTTCAATAAGTTCCATTCCGATAGAAACCTGTCTTGAGAAGAGAACCACTTGCTGTCTATCCACATTTCTGCAGAATGAACTCCACAACAAACCATCTGAGTTGTGATATTAAATTTGAACAGAAAAAAAAAGTTGATCAAATATTCTATTTGAAAATGCTCTCAAAAACGGAAACTGTAGGTACATTAGTATTCGTATAAAATTGCAGAATAGGCGGTTTCAGTTGAAATTTGTCAGAATGAATTTACCGACCTTGATAAAATAAAGCCAAGCTGTGAAACACGAAAATCATGATATCCTAATTAGACGTCTTCGGGTGCAATAGGCCTTAGACAGAACCATTAAAGACCTGTTGTTGCATTTTGTCCCATGAAGCAGTGACACTCGGAGCTGAGGGGTTTCCGTACTCTTCTACTGCCGAGCTAGTGAGCCATTTGGTGAGAGTTTCATCGTTCAGCTGTTTATCGGGGAATATTGTAACTAATGTCAGTAACTCGACTTACTTTCAAGCTTACACCGTAGGCAAGACTGGCACTGGCAACGCAGAGACCGCAATTGAAAAAGCGTGAAAAAAATATGTACTAAACATTATCTTACAGATTTTTTTTTTATTCTGGCCGGATAAAACTATTTTGACCATTTTTTGCGGCTTTATTAGAGAGAAATACGAAAAACATAAGCCACAATTTTCTGATGAATTTGTTACATTAATTTCATCTAAAAAAATGATATTTGTCTAAATTTTTTGTTTGAGTTACAATAGTTTTTTATGATGTAAAGCTGACTTTAACTGACTGACTTACCAGGGTCATCATTTTCGAGTCGTCCAGAACAATCGAATAAAGGCCTACAGGAGTGAATACAAATGTTAAAATTCCAATAATCACGGTAAGAGCAGACGTGTACAAAACATCATTGCTTCCGATGATCGAGGTCGTGAAAGTCAACTCCACTAGGCTCATTATACCGAAGCCAATCAAGCCAACGCTGCCAATCTGTAAAAATACGTTGAAGGTCCACAGATCAACTGTTAGATTTATTGCGTGTGGAAAATGAAGAATTTTGGGTCAGGAATTCTAGACGTTTGTACTGAGACAAAAACACGAAAATTAATCATTCTGTTCTGATCATCAGGTAAATATATTTTACAATTTTCAATGAGTTGATAAGCCACATGCGCCGATCGAAAGTGAAATTGAAAAGGACCAGACATCTGGAAACCAGAAAAATCGTCGTCTTCAAACATTTTTCATTGAATGATTTTTTTATTGAACACGTTTCAGCCTTGTTATTGAACAGAATAATGAGAATTTTTAATTAGTTGAATCATTTTGCATGCAAATTGCGATTGGAGTCTTGTATGTCTTTAGCGATTTATCTGTCACAGAAGTGGTTTTTTTTTTCTCAAAAAGAGTAAAATATTGAAACTGAGTCCCACCATTCCGAGGGCAGAAAATAATAAAGCAGCGCATCTTGGGAATAAAAGGTTTCTTTTGACAAGAAGACGTCGGTTGTTGTTGATTTGTGAACTAGGAGAGTCAACTCGTCGCCCCAAATCGGAATAAAACTTATTCATAGATGAAAGGAAAACAGAAATCGATGTGAGTTGGTCGGCCGCCTCCACTCCCTCGGTTCAAGAGCACGCAAACAGTAAGGCTGTCGGCACCGAGGTGAGTTGGGCAAATAAGAAGATTTCCTTAGATCCTTCCTTGTTTTGTTTGTTTGACCTTCATTGTTTTTTTTTCTTTTTAGTACTGTCAGGAGGAAATCTTGGTTGATTTTTTAGTTCTTGAAGCTGTTCGAATCTCCCAAGAAGTGTGTGAGGTGAATATTGCAGATCTGGTCCAAACTTCAAATTTAGATAGTCCTAGGTACGGGTAACCAAAAAATAAATAGCAATATAGTCTGTTCAGATTTTGAGTGTCAAGTCGTCGCTCAAGCTCCGCCCCTAATGGTGCGATAGACCAATCAGAGAGCGAGCCATCCACAGAGCGTTTTTGAATGACGTCATTGCACTTGACATTAAAAATATGAACAGACTATATCTGCTGAGCGCCACAGGCTGTTAAAAAATACACTGGTAAAAATGCACATAAAAAGTTCAAAAACTGATTTTCTTCGGTTTTTCGATTTTTAAAACGTCTACTGTTATTCACTATATCTTAAGAAACACGAGAAAGAAACTTTTTCCAGGAAAAACCGAGGAGAATTCGTTTTTCAGCTTTTCCTGTACCTTTTCTACAGGCTATTTCTCAGTACCTTATGGCGATTAACCAATTATTTCCGCTGTTTTTGATTACTCATACCTAAGAAAAACTACCACAGAAGTTTGAACTATATCTGCGATGAAAAATTACATGGAGAAGCAGTGATCGTCAGAACGCTCGAAAATCGTCTACTACTATCACAGAAAAGGCAAGCTCTACGCGCGCCCCTCTTGATCAACGACAGTTTCGCGAACCGACAGACCAATTATCCCATGACTCAGCAGAGAATCTTCTCTGAAGACTGAATAAAGGTTTCAAAAGTTTCATATGCTTGAATGGAGATTCCATGATGAATGTTAGCTCCCAAGTCTTATATCCCACAGCGGCTTTTTCTGGGCTGAAAGCAAAAAAATCTGCGAAATGCTGATGGAAAATCATCAAAAAGTTCAGCTATAAAAACATTGTATTTAGCTGTTCGAAATTTCATCTAAATTTTTTTTCAATATTTCTCAAACATAAAACAAATTCCATGTGAAATCGTCATTTGAAGTGGTCGCTCTTATTCTGAGACAACAGTCTGCAGCCTCCAGCACATGATCCGCGACATTCTGAGCTCGTCAAGGCGCAACGGGATGAACTACGCGCAGAAGAGGGAGGCGAAAGACCGTAAGACCAACGTTTGGACTTCTAGTTCGCCAAAGGCGGTTGTTCGTTATAGCTTTAAAAACTTGTCTACCACCTAGTCGATTACATCCGACTGAAACAACAAAATGAATGATTTGATTTGATTGATGAAATAGTAGAATCAATAATAATAATTCATAACGAATGGATCAAGAAGTATAAATGTGAAAAATAAAATTTTGGAGGTGATTTATAGTAAATTCATCTCGACTTGAAACGAAGGAGGCGGAAAAGTTTGCAGGACGCGTAGCGTTTTTTCACGATTTCATTTCTAACTCCACTGACTATTCAAAAAAACTCGGTCACCGCTCTTTTTGTATCTATTCTACTATTTTTTTAACGCACACATGAAAAAAATTGATGAAGAAAAAAATTTAAAAAAAGCGATAAACGAACTCTTCAAATAGTTGCTAGCGATTGAATTTTTTTCGTGTCATCTCGCCTCCTTTCCCGCCTCCCTCGCCTTTCAAGTCGTAAAAAGTGACTATATAAAAAAAGAGGGTCGTGGAGAACAAATTATTAAAAAAAGGGATACTGTTGAAAGAGTGAGATCAGTAGTTCTAATCCAACCGATATGTTTATAAATCTACGTACTGGACATGTAGTAAACTTTTTACAACTGTAAATGAATGACACTAGTTATAAGTAGAAACAATTAGAGAGCTCTTCTTCGCGGCGCCTGCTTCTCGTCTGAAGTGAACAACCGCTTCAGCGCTATTTGATAGTCTCGATTGAAAACCTGGAAGCTTGCCCAAAATTCCATGTTCTCCGAAATTCTTGTTTACGAACCGTGTAAATGATGGGATTCATAGCCGAATTACTGTACCCGAGCCACGTGATGAACATCTCGATATGTGCGTTGGGGCTGCACGACTTGCAGAACTGCACCAAAACGTACATTCTGAAAACAAATCTTTTGACTTCATTTCTTCATGATTGAGAACTGATTTTTTGGCGCACATTATGAGATAAAGTTCTGAGGAGACATGGCAAAACGGCTGAAGTCAACTGTCATCATCCATTGAAAAATAAACGCGAAAACCGTCATTTGTGATCTCGGTCTCATCCAAAAGCGCTACGGGGATTCAAAACCATTTTCTAATCAGTAAAATTGAGTCAATTTTCTAAAAACCCGGTTTATTGTGAAAATTCGAAAAATTTCGAACTCCGAGAGAAAAAAAAAATCATTTTTCAATGAAATAAACGGAGTTTACTTCCTTTTTTTAAATTCAACCATTGCGAAGTCTCAAATTCTACAAAAGCTGCTTTCGCGTACTGAAATGATAACGCCAAAACTGCAAGTCGTTCGAAATTCTCCTTTTGGCAGTTTCAAAAAATTCAACTTTTTTCTGTAGTGAATATCCTTCTTTTCAACTCTTACATGAAAAAAGGAGTCCAACAGACGGTGAAGCATCCAAGAATGATGCCTAAAACTTTGACTCCACGCCTCTCTTTGGCAGCAGAAATGGCTCGCGGCTTCCTTTGCAGACTTTTCCGATATACCCGTTCTTTCCTTCAATTCAAAGCTTGAAAATCGGGATTGTGGGCTTTTTGGAACCTGTTCTTATGCCGTTTAACCTTCTCATAACTTATCGTCATGGCGCTGCGCATGGGTTTGGCTTCTCGTTTCGGCTGCGGACGTTCTCTTTCCAAAGTAGCAGGGACAGATTTAGAAGCCTTAATGACAATTTTGAAAAAAAAAAACAATTACTACACCTTGGCTCCCCGTTTTACGTAAGGAACATCTTGGGAGCCACCGACCGTTGCGACTATTGTCGTCATAGTTGTGTTGTCCTTAGTTTTTTTTATATCAACAATAATTTTTTCAGAATATTACCTCATTTTTCGCGTCTGAATCTTCTTCTTCGCATTCTTCAATAATAGGGCTGTTGCCGTTTCCAATCCCATTCTCAACTTGCCCTGAGCTCTCACCTAAAGCTCAACCTGTACTTCAATATTGCACCTCTATTCTCACTGTCATCGTCTTCATCTTTTGCGAACTCGTCGGAAGTTGGCAAAACATGACTGATCTCATGAAGAATCGTTGATTCGATGTGTTTTCTTATGACCTTAAATGCCACAATGTTTGAACTGCTTCTACAGAACGCGTGAGCAACCTTGCAAGTAACATCTAGTGAATGGTGAGAACGTTTTTCTATTACAACCAAACAAGCAAAGTAGAAATCGGTGGTTATTTTCTTGCTTTATCTCGAGTTATTGGCGGCAGATGGTAGAAACCCACAACGATTAGGCCGTGCTAATTTCTAGGGAGAGTGGGAGGAAGACGACCTCATCATTGACGGTTATACGAGTGCGTCAGACCTCGGAGAAATGGCTGAAAACGCGCAAACACACAACTTACGCAACACATGCAAGCATTCAAAAAAAATCTCGCGTCATCTTTATAATCCGATTTTTCCTCTCAATTAAAATGTTTTCTAGGAGATCTGCGACGATGAAAGACTGGGTGCAGTGATTAGAGTCACGAGTATAGTGCTACCAAACGAGAAGAATTTGACAAATGAAAATCTTACATGGGACGAGACGGCCAGCTAAAAAACGTTTCGGTTAGATTTCGGTTTTGATTGTCTTTTTTTCCGATTCAACTTCAGTTTCATGATCAGCAAAAAAAGAATTCTTGGCAAACGTAATAACTATAGGTTTACTCCGGGAATTCAGAGTAAAAGCTTAAAAACTCGGAAAATTCAATTATTTGCGAAAATGCTCTGAGAACATAAACAAAATTCAAACACGCTCTATTTTTTGACGTTATTGAGCTTGAAAATTATTGGTTTTCAGATTTTTTTCTTTTTCATGGCAATTAAAGAATTTCAAAAGTCTAGAAACTCTAGTGGGAAGTAGTTGTTCTTCAGAACACCTTGTAGAGGAATTATTTTCCGATTTTCGAGACCAATTAAGCAAAAAAAGTCTACGGAGAGAATATTTTTTTCGCGGCCGACTCAACCTAACTTGCGCGAGAATTTCTTTACGTTCGATTTTTAGCGACCTTAACTTTTCGAATCGCAATGAACGCCACAATGATAGTAATTGAGTCTTCAAATACTGTTTTTGCAGCCAGACGCCATCTTTCTTATTTACATATGAATTTTTGATCAGTGTTTTGCGTGTCATCTTCACTAGCTCGACTTTGTAGAAGTGGCGCGCAAAAAGTTATAGTGAGATTTGAAAGACTTTATTTTGATCTGAACATCGAAAAAGTTTTCGCGAGCAAGAATTTCCAAACAAGCAAAAGTTAATGTCATGCTTATGCAAAGACAGCAATAAATACACTTGACGTCTCAAGCACCGACATTTAGAGACTGAGTTTTCGTTACTGAAGTGTGAATGTGAACCTATCTCTCATATTTTATTTTTTTTTTTTCTGATAATGTTATGTAAGACAAACCTTCTGACGATAGATTTGACGAGCACGATGTTTTGCGAAGGCTTGGTAAATTTTGAAGTATACAAAAAACATCAATATTGTTGGGATGAAAAATGAGCCCGTGGCCGAATAGACGGTGTACGTGGGCAGATCCAAGAATGTGCACTGTCTAACGGTTTGATTTTTCTCGAAAATCAAATTTGCTGAGATGGCCGTCTGAATTTAAAGCTTGGTTTAGATGAATATTTTTCAATCCAACCTGTTTCCACCCCAACAAAGGAGCTAATGATATCAATGCACTGGAAACCCAAACAGACAATATCATAATTCCAGCTGTTCTTTTGTTTCTGGAAGTTTCTCGGTCTTGCAAAAATTTGGAGGTTCATTTGTACCTTTTGCTCATGTAAGCGACAGGACTTGTGATAGCCCAGTACCTGTCCAAACCAACTATTGAAAGGTTCCAGATTGATGCGGTCGAGCAAAGAATGTCGGCTGAAGTAGTTTTAGTTATTGAGGCAAGGACCGAAAGCCTAGTAAAAAAAATCGGAATTTTCGAACTTTGCATTTTGGCGAAATTGATTCCAGTTTCCGTTGTGTAATGTAATAACTGGCAAGATGTGACAAATTTCAAAAAGGGAAGCACTTCACAACTTTTTGTGTTTTGAAAAAAATCTCAAGCAAGACCGTAGGACAAGAGTTACCTGACACGAAGACTTCGCACAGAGCATCTGGAAATATCCATTCTCCGGCTATTGCGTAAACGGAAGACAATGGCAGGACAATCAACCCGAGGGCTAAATCCGAAAAAGCCAAGTTACCAACCTAAAAACTGAACTTCAATCAATCCTTCATTTTTTCTATCACCAATAAGTTCGGCACTGTCTGCATACGAGGATTCTTGTAAAGAACGATGAAAACCAACGAATTGGCAAAAATCGTCCATAATACAAGTAGAAATAGTGCTCCCCCTTTCAAAGCCTGCAAAAAGAACATTGAACCCAAGTTTTCATTCTGTTTGTGTTCTTTTAGTTTCTAGTTCTCTACTACATTTTCAAATTGCTTGTCCTCTTCGAGAGCAATCAACGTGAAATTAACTGAAGGCGCAGATGGGCGCAATTAGGTACACGCAAAAAAGTTTGAAAATAGAAACCTCGACCGAGGTACCATTAGGCTGACTCACTTGGAAAACCGTGTAGGATAAATCAGGGCTGTTCATGACATAACTCGTCCTGAAAAAATATAGTCGGTTTATTTCGAGAAATGGGGAAAAAGTGTCAAAGATTTTGGGAAGCTCAGCACACAGCTTAAAGAGATTACGGCTGTCCTTAGGACAAAATGTCAAGAAAATGATGGAAAAAAAAACGAAGAATAGAAAAAAAGAGTCAAAAATTTGAACTTTCTTGATAATATTCATTGTGGTTATTGATGAAGATTTAATATAAAAATAGAGAAAAAATTTTTGGCTTTCAAATTAAGTTTTGAAAAGGTTTGAAAGTTCGATTGATTTTTTACTAGACAAAAAAATCCCTCTGGGCTTCTTCAAACTTCATCTTGAAACTGAGTTTGACTGAAAAAATGATTTTGTAATGAAAATCAAGTTTCGGAAAGTTTTCAGACATTTAAAGAGCCGTCATATAACAGAAAAGTTAATAGTGTTTGACGTGGCAATCTAGGAAATGAGAAAAAAAGTTTCCTGACAGCTCAGCAGGAATTTTTTGTACTGAATATTGAGGCGGAAATCCAGCCGAAATTTATTTTCTTTTTTTCGGACTTCCTTGGATTATTTCCGCATTGAGGGAGATTCATAATCCGCAGTTGGACGTCACGTCTTCGTTAGTGTGATAATAAAAAAGTGCGACTGAATTTTTTTTTTGAGCGAAGCTCGAAGAAAATGTAAACATTAGTAAATTTTCAAGATTTTTTTCTTTAAAAAGGAACCGAACAGAATTTTAATGAGCTAGTTGGAATTTATTTCTTAAAAAAATGAAAAAAATTCAAAAAAAGTGACATGAAACTGCTTTTTTTCAATTCCATAATATTTCTGTTATCAATAACTGAGGAATTCTCGAAGTGGATGATTATCAAAAAAATTTTAAAAAAATTCCAGAGACACTTTTTTTATTAAGGAGACATGTTCGAAATGGACTATTACTATTATTTATAAAGATACTATGAAGAAGTGATTGGGAAACAAAAATATGGAACCTATTCGGATTTATTTTATTCCAAACTTCGTTATTCAGGAACTATCAAGAAAAATTATAAACTGCGATTTGATATAGAAAACTTCCGCGTTCAGCTCAAAATAACAAGACGGTTTTTTTTCTAAATTTAATGCCATTTGAAAATAATTGAATCTATTTATTTTTATCGATCTTCTCAAATTGAGAATGAAAATAAAAAAATTTCTGTAGAAAAAAGTTACAGATTAAGAAGAGAAAGATAAAGAGTGGGCACAAAAATATCGCTCTTTAGTTGAAAAACTTGAAAGGAATTAGCAGATTTTCAAATATTCTGTGAAGAAGAGTTCCCGAGAAACAAGGCTTGACGTGTAACAAAAATAATCGTCCGCGGATTAGAGGGGTGGCGACGAAGCCCAAGCACAATTATAGGTAGATATCGAAAGGAATTTCATGCATTATGCAGAAACACTTGCGTGTCGCCGTCCCTTTTCCGCCTTTGGCTAAGTTCGATGAGCAAGCTCTAAGAGAATAAGTTATTGCGATGGCGTCGAGGAGATGCCTGAGTCGAACACCGTACCCATCCCAAAGCTATTTTTTGCTGCTCTGGGAGGCAGAGCGACTTTATACTGGAAGCTGGGCACTTTCTTCTACAGAAGCTAATTCTTGAAAAGAAAGTAGAGTCAAGAAACCTGAGATAAATCTACTTGGCTCGAGCTTTACATTTTTGCTTTTATACTACGGAGCTCAGTTAGTTATTTTTATTTTAATGGGAAACCTTTCCAGAATAAAAAATAAAACTGTTACACCAAAAAAAGTAGAATTATTTTTGTTTAAACTTTTGAATTTATTTATTTGTGGACCCATACATTGCGAAATCGAAAATCACCTGGTTGAAGCGAAAAAAGTTTTTACTGTGTTTGAGAATGCTATTTAGCTGGATTTTCAATCGACAGTCGTCTTCGAGAAAACGGTAAAAATTCAGAAATGAAATCTTCATACAGAAAAGAGTGTTTCAAATATTCACCGGTTTCGAATTGCTAGTGAGACAGAATTAAAAACTTTCAAACCACTGGTGGAAAAAGAAAAAAAGTCAACGTATACATCAAAAGCTGACTTTGAATTTTCTATAGTGATTTTTTTGAGGATAGGCGAAAAAATCAGAAAATTTGTTTGAGACGAACGATGAAAGGTTAATCAAATTTTGAATCCCCGGAGCTTGAAAAAAACTTTTTAGCTCACGAAAAATGTCGCCTCCGTGGCTAAATATCTTTGTTGATTTTGAGAGAGCCAACTTGCAATAATAAAAAAACAATGTTTTTTTCTATAAATTTTTAGTTTGACTAAATTATTCAAAAAGATGTAATAGCTGATGTATAAATCGGATTGAATTGAATGGTATTCATTTGATGAGACTTCAATAAATTGAAAAACTTGTTGCCTTTTGCAGAAGGCCCGCAAAATTGAAGTTCGTAGTGTACCTTCCACGAAGCAAGAGGAAATTCTGCCATTTTATAGCTCTTCCGCAAGATTGAGATGCTCGTTTTGATGAAAGAACTTCAAAAAAAGCTTGAACTTTTTGCACCAAGACAAAGAAGACAATTTGAGAAAAAATCTGCGGATTGTTGTAAGAAAATAAATGAAGTTAAAACGACCTTTTTTCAATATATACTCCAGCAAAAAAATACAGTGTTTTTCTAATAGTTAGCTGAAAGTGGACGACTGAAAAACACAAAACACTCAGAAAGGCTCGGAAGAATGACAGGAGTTGTTTCCAACATTGTAGAATGAGAAAATCCGCAAAAGTGTCCGCAAAAACTCTCTCTCAGGACCCGCCGCCGGAAACCAGATGATTGCTTCTGCTAATGCGCGCAAAGTTGAGCTCTTATTGAAGTCAATATCTCCTCCCACTAAGTTCGGATTTACAAATTATTGAACGTCTTGTCTGATATTTGAGATCTCTCGATTTTCTTTTTCACGTTCAAAAAAGAATGCGCGAGACCTCACGAGGCAAGTGTGTAAGCTGAGCATCACAAGCATGGTTCAAACTACTGTGGCAGTGAGTCCTAGCTATGAGTATTTGAAAATAAAAAAAATTATTTGCTAAGCGCCATTTGGTATTGAGAAATAACCTGTCGAAAATTTACAGGAAAAGCTCAAAATCAAACTCTTTTTGAGTTTTCGGTGTAAAAAGGTTTTTTCTCGTGTTTCTTATGATATAGTGAATAACCGTAGGCGTTTCAGAAATCGAAAAACAATAGAAAGTTAGTTTTTGAGCTTTTCCCGAAAATTTCCCCGAAGACAGACTGTGTCTTATTCTCCTATGGCGCTTAGCAGATATTTCTTTTTTTTGAGTAGCCATACCTAAAACAATCTAACATTCAAGTTTAAACCACGTCTGCGATGTTCACCTCACACACTTCCTTTGTCAGTTCGTCGATCATGTTACAAATCCGAGCATGTAACATCGGAGAAATGAGAACGTAATTTTGATTTTTTTAATAATATTTTCGTCATTTGACAAACAAGCTTTTTTGCAAATCTGAAAAGTTTTCTATTTATTGTTTATAGAAAAAAAAAAGTGGTCAAAAAAAGTTTTGAACCATGCGTAACAACTCGAAAAAAGGTTCAAAAAGTGAAAGCCAGAATGAAAACTTTAAAAACGGTTCATGAAGCTCTGAAATTCGAAGAAATTCTAGATCCTGGTAATTAGAGATGAATATCGAAGGCAAAGACGTTTTTGAGCTCCTAAGCGATCAAAAAATAACCTTTTCACACAAAAGTTAAAACGAAAGAATAATACCAGAATTTCTCCGTTAACTCAATCATGAACGGAATCCTTCAGCAAAAGGTTTTACAGCAAAAATTTCTCAACATGATTTCACAAATGATTTGGAATAAAATTATCACGCTTCCCCTGAAAGTGCAAAATTGGACGTTCATAGAGCTCATCTTATTTAGGATTTTCAAAGCGATAAGCTTCTTTCACTTGACGCCCAAGATAGCTTGAACTTCAATCTTTGCTCTATAGTCAGTTGAAATTTGAAAACAGAGCATTTCTGTTAGTTTTATCTTCATAAAACTTTTGAAGAGCAAGCGAGCGAGAAATAACTATTGTAAAAATCAAGAAGAGTGAAATTATTTTTTCTAACTGAAAGCTTTGTTTATCTGAAACGTTAAAAAAAAGATCAGATGATAATTTCTGCAACTGTATACATCGCGCTCCCAAGTAGTAGAAATAATAAAATCTGAATTCATCATTGATTTCCAACAAAATTTGTGTTTGCCCTGAAAGCCGACGAAACGAGGAGGTTCTTAGAAAATCGAATAAGGAAACCACTACAAATTCTCTGAGAGGGCAACGTTTTTTTTCAGCTTTGAGGGCATGACATTTCAATTCCTTTAAACAACAAAATCCATTACTACATCGATTTTTATTTGATTTGCTCCTGTTTCAGGAAGAAGCGTAACGAACACGTCTTCCGAAATTGAATAAGCAAAAAATTGCAAATTGCTGGAAGAGAAAAAATTCTGGTTCAAGAAGAAGGAGCTGCGAATTTTTTTGAATCATGTTATCTTGCATTTTATACATGTAAGTTTGATAGAAAATCTCATTTTTGTCTCGGAAGTCGAATGAAACAACACAGGCGTTCTGAAGCCCTTAGGAACGACTGAGGAAGTGGAAGGTGTTTGAAACAAGAAACTCACCTCATTGCAAACGTTTTTGTTCAGAAGCCTAAGCCGAGAAGAGTGAAAACATTTGTACAAATTTGCGTCTCGAGTTATTTCACTAGGTCCTAAGGGTTCTCGTTTTACACTTGAACGAAGATGAGGTCTTGTTTTTCGTAATCATTAGCAAAAGGCCAAATATGGCTGTTGTGAGAAATTGAATCGAATGAGATTTACTAAAAAGCTTGATTCCGGGAAAGTTTGTTGCACGGCGACAGCGGCCCCGAGGCGTCGGAACTCGGAATTCAGTAAGCAATAGACATAAACAGGCAAGCTTGCTCGGCCGATAACTTGGTTTGCCGAGGCG